TGTACACCCCTACACACCCCACACCACAGATCATGTACACCCCTACACACCCCACACCACAGATCATGTACACCCCTACACTCCCCCCACACCACAGATCATGTACACCCCTACACTCCCCCCACACCACAGATCATGTACACCCCTACACTCCCCCCACACCACAGATCATGTACACCCCTACACTCCCCCCACACCACAGATCATGTACACCCCTACACTCCCCCCACATCACAGATCCTGTACACCTCTTCACTCCCCCACACCACAGATCCTTACACCACTACACACCCCCCACACACCACAGATCCTTACACCACTACACCCCCCACATTACAGATCCTGTACACCCCTACACACCCCACACCACAGAAGTGCTGTAACGACCATTGCACACAATCTCCCACACGATCTCCCACACAATCTGCCGCACAAACGATCAAACCTCACTGACGTACTAGATCTTCGCACTCACTATGTAATAAAGCTCACCTCTACCCCCCCCCCCCCCCCACCACACACACGCAGCTGTCACCAACACGGTCATACATCGACCCAGAATTTTTGCAGTGATTGTAAAACCTGCCTCAGTTATGTACAAGTAACGACGATAAGACACAAACGTCAGTTATGTACAAGTAAAGACGATAAGACACACGCGTCAGTTATGTACAAGTAAAGACGATAAGACACAAGCCTCAGTTATGTACAAGTAAAGACGATAAGACACAAGCCTCAGTTATGTACAAGTAAAGACGATAAGACACAAGCCTCAGTTATGTACAAGTAACGACGATAAGACACAAACGTCAGTTATGTACAAGTAAAGACGATAAGACACAAGCCTCAGTTATGTACATGTAACGACGATAAGACACGAGTCAGTTATGTACAAGTAAAGACGATAAGACACGCGTCAGTTATGTACAAGTAAAGACGATAAGACACAAGCCTCAGTTATGTACAAGTAAAGACGATAAGACACACGCGTCAGTTATGTACAAGTAAAGACGATAAGACACACGCGTCAGTTATGTACAAGTAAAGACGATAAGACACACGCGTCAGTTATGTACATGTAACGACGATAAGACACGAGTCAGTTATGTACAAGTGAAGACGATAAGACACGCGTCAGTTATGTACAAGTAAAGACGATAAGACACAAGCCTCAGTTATGTACAAGTAAAGACGATAAGACACAAGCGTCAGTTATGTACAAGTAAAGACGATAAGACACAAGCCTCAGTTATGTACAAGTAAAGACGATAAGACACAAGCCTCAGTTATGTACAAGTAACGACGATAAGACACAAACGTCAGTTATGTACAAGTAAAGACGATAAGACACAAGCCTCAGTTATGTACAAGTAAAGACGATAAGACACAAGCCTCAGTTATGTACAAGTAAAGACGATAAGACACACGCGTCAGTTATGTACAAGTAACGACGATAAGACACAAACGTCAGTTATGTACAAGTAAAGACGATAAGACACAAGCCTCAGTTATGTACAAGTAACGACGATAAGACACAAACGTCAGTTATGTACAAGTAAAGACGATAAGATACAAGCCTCAGTTATGTACAAGTAAAGACGATAAGACACAAGCCTCAGTTATGTACATGTAACGACGATAAGACACGAGTCAGTTATGTACAAGTAAAGACGATAAGACACGCGTCAGTTATGTACAAGTAAAGACGATAAGACACAAGCCTCAGCTATGTACAAGTAAAGACGATAAGACACAAGCCTCAGTTATGTACAAGTAACGACGATAAGACACAAGCCTCAGTTATGTACAAGTAAAGACGATAAGACACAAGCGTCAGTTATGTACAAGTAAAGACGATAAGACACAAGCCTCAGTTATGTACAAGTAAAGACGATAAGACACAAGCCTCAGTTATGTACAAGTAAAGACGATAAGACACAAGCGTCAGTTATGTACAAGTAAAGACGATAAGACACAGCGTCAGTTATGTACAAACAACAGATGATGTAACACTCGAGCCCCTACACGTCACCAGGACAATTTTCTCGACCTTTGGATGTGCTTGACCTCCCCCACACAATAGAATCGACTCAAACTGTGTCCAGAATCTTCCCACCCAACATTATGTCTACAGATAAGTCCCCACAAAATGAAACACTGGTCTGTGTTAATCCCCTGACCAGATATATTCAAGTACAAAACTTTTGCTTAAAGAATATTTTAAAACTAGGATTGAGATTATTTGAATAATTTTCTTCGATCACTTAATCTTTTAGACACACGTGTAGACACATCGGGACAGTCTACACGTTAGGTGGATCACCAGGTTTACTTCCCCTCTCCCTCCCCCACCCACCCACAAGTAAATCAATAGGTTACTGAAATGAAATATGCCCAGTAATATAACATTGATAAAGTAGGCGATAATACAATCATTGCAAACGTACGCAGGTCTCTGAACGTTGCAGTAAGCTGTCTCTGTAGTCTCGACCTGAATCTATGGCTGCTAGGGGGAGTCATACGGCGTCATGTGGCGTCTACATCTTGCTAGATCATTACCTGGCTGGGGAGAGTCATACGGCGTCATGTGGCGTCTACATCTTGCTAGATCATCACCTGGCTAGGGGGAGTCATACGGCGTCATGTGGCGTCTACATCTTGCTAGATCATTACCTGGCTGGGGAGAGTCATACGGCGTCATGTGGCGTCTACATCTTGCTAGATCATCACCTGGCTAGGGAGAGTCATACGGCGTCATGTGGCGTCTACATCTTGCTAGATCATCACCTGGCTAGGGGGAGTCATACGGCGTCATGTGGCGTCTACATCTTGCTAGATCATCACCTGGCTAGGGGGAGTCATACGGCGTCATGTGGCGTCTACATCTTGCTAGATCATTACCTGGCTGGGGAGAGTCATACGGCGTCATGTGGCGTCTACATCTTGCTAGATCATCACCTGGCTAGGGGGAGTCATACGGCGTCATGTGGCGTCTACATCTTGCTAGATCATTACCTGGCTGGGGAGTCATACGGCGTCATGTGGCGTCTACATCTTGCTAGATCATTACCTGGCTGAGGAGAGTCATACCGTTGTAACCAAATCATGTGACCAGTCCCAGACACCATCCCCCACACACACGCTACCATACCCACACATCCCCCCCCCCACACACACACGCTACCATACCCATACATCCCGCCACACACACACGCTACCATACCCATACATCCCCGGTTATATACACGCTCAAATAGCTACCTAAGTCATCATCTCTATCATTTTTCTTTTTCTTTCCTTGCGGATCATATGGACTCAGTCAAAGATCTCCACCCAGGGTCTAGCTCTCTGCCAGTCAAAAATCTCCACCCCACGGTCCTGCTCTCTTCCCAGTCCATCGCCATCTCCTACACAAGATTAACCTGTCATTGTTTCCTGTCCTCACAGTTTTGTGTTGTCTACCTTGTCTTGCCATTTAATTTTCTATATACCACTGAGGCACACATTAGAGTCTAAATTTTCAAATGTCCATTAACAACATTTCTTCTATATCCGCTCCTGGGCGCGGAGTCTGCTTAGCTGAAGACAGAAGGGATGTCTTGAGAGACAGAAGGGATGTCTTGAGAGACAGTATTGATGTCTTGAGAGACAGCTAAATCAACAGAACAAAATGGAGGGTTAAGATATAGGCAACAAGCTCTACACGAGGTAAAGAGGATAAATTATCAATTCTTATCATCTAGATCTGCTAGGATAGGGATAAATTATCAATTCTTATCATCTAGATCTGCTAGGAAAGATATAACTTATCAATTCTTATCATCTATATCTGTTAGGATGGGATAAATTATCAATTCTTATCATCTATAACTGCTAGGATAGGGATAAATTATCAATTCTTATCATCTAGATCTGCTAGGAAAGATATAAAGTATCAATTCTTATCATATATATCTTCGAGGATAGGGATAAATTATCAATTCTTATCATCTATATCTGCTAGGATAGGGATAAATCATCAATTATCATCTATATCTGCTAGGATAGGGATAATTTATCAATTCTTATCGTCTATATCTGCTAGGATAGGGATAATTTATCAATTCTTATCATCTATATCTGCTAGGATAGGGATAAATTATCAATTCTTATCATCTATGCTTGCGAGGATAGGGATAATTTATCAATTCTTATCATCTATATCTGCTAGGATAGGGATAAATTATCAATTCTTATCATCTATACCTGCGAGGATAGGGATAAATTATCAATTCTTATCATCTATATCTGCTAGGATAGGGATAAATTATCAATTCTTATCATCTATATCTGCTAGGATAGGGATAAATTATCAATTCTTATCATCTATATCTGCTAGGATAGGGATAAATTATCAATTCTTATCATCTATATCTGCTAGGATAGGGATAAATTATCAATTGTTATCATCTAAATCTGCGGGGATAGATTGGGTCGGCAGAGCGAATACATTAAAAACGTTCTATGAATACAATTATTTTGTCCAAGATTCAAACTACCAAGTATTGTGAATTTTTTTATCTCAGTACATAAGGCGTCTGTTTGTTCACACCTATCTGGTTTTATATTTTCCAACTTGATTCAGGTACCCAATAGAGCTGAGGCAGCTCACGGCAAACGTTGGGGACAAATTCCGATTCAATGTCCTTACCACTGGACCACGCCATTCCATGACATTAAGATTATAGTGTGTGCATGTATGCATGCGCTTGAATAAAAAAAACTGCACACCGCATACAATTAATTAAAGAGCACAAATAAAGTTTTAGTATCACATTGTGACAGCTGGGTGTGACAGGAAATATAATCCGCACCTTTTGTGTGACGTACACACCTGGGTCTAACAGATGTTGCAGTGGCGCACGAGACTACACACCGACACGGCGAGGGCGAGTGGAGAAATGTGACTCAGCCCCAGAGCTCAACATGGCGGTATCGATCCCTCGAGCCAGGGGCGGCGACACCGTGGGCTCGCGGTTGTGACGAGTACACGTCTGCTAGCCGTCGCTCCGTGACAGACACCCGACGTGTAATCGACAGCATCGATCGGACGATACGCCCTCGACGCTCGGTCGTAACTTGACGGTGAGTTGTTTAGTCTAGTCGACACGAGACGGAAACCTACGAGCACGCTTACACAGGAAAGGGACGGGAATTTTCTCTCGTCACAGGGGAGAGAGAACACACTCGACACGATTTAACTACAGGTACGCTAGTCCATCATGTGTGTGTGTGTGTGTTACCGTTAGGTTACAGGTATAAACAACCTAGGCTTAGGTTAGTGGTGGCTTATGATACGTGCTTATATTAGTGGCGTCTTCAACACGCAATGTTACAGTCACAGTGACATCAAGGTAGGTGGGAAAGTTCCTTCTGCCTCCTGGTGTGCTCGTCATATATATATATATATATATATATATATATATATATATATATATATATATATATATATATATATATATATATATATATATATATATATATGGGAGTATATATTTAATATAACTACACTTATTCAAAGTATTTTTATAACTTTTAGATTTTAGTTTAAAGCAAAAACATTCGTATATAGATCCAATAACACAAATATTACATTAGTTAAATTATCGCTTCACGTGTCGCAGGTAATACTTTGATCAAGTGTGAAATTAGTGTTTGTGTAATCAAGTTCTAAAAATAGAAGTGGGTCATCCGACCGCGACACACGATACAGCAACAAACAGAATTTGTGTCAACATTCTCCAAGGGCCGATTACTCTTCATCAACGCTTGGAGTGGTGCTAAACATTCTTGTGCTGTTTCCTAACTAGGTTAGTCATTGTTACGGGCCTTTGTTTACGTGCATTTGGACCTTAATTTTTGTGATAACCGAAGTTTATTCTGAAGGAATATTTGTTTTTATTCCAAGTTAATTTTCATTCAAATACTGATTTCAATGTAGTATTTCTCTGGCTTATTGACGTTAGCTTTTGGTAAGTCTATGCACAAATAATTTTAAGTACAATGTATTATTGCCATCTATGAAAAATGCTTTCAATTATTTGAATCCCTCAATTTAAAGATTATCGAGTATGGTCTTAAATAAGCTGAAGATGGCAATACAATACATGCACTAAATGGTATATCTAAAAACAATGTAAACTATGTAAACATGTAAACTATTTACTATATCTTTAATTATATTTAAGTATAGATCCGATTACCAATACCAAGAAAAATGACCAAATAAAAGATCTGGGTGGTGTTTTTTTAAACAACATATGGGGTCAGTATTATATTTTATTGATGAAGTTAAAGAAACGTTGAAACTATTTCTGGCTTATGATGAGAGAAAATTGTCTGTGAACATAAAGCTTTATAAAGATTGACTGTGAACATAAAGCTTTATAAAGATTGACTGTGAACATAAAGCTTTATAAAGATTGTCTGTGAACATAAAGCTTTATAAAGATTGACTGTGAACATAAAGCTTTATAAAGATTGTCTGTGAACATAAAGCTTTATAAAGATTGTCTGTGAACATAAAGCTTTATAAAGCCCCGTGATTGTGTCTGTGTGCAGATAGTATCTGTCTCTTTATGTCTGTTTTATAGTGGGGTGAAAGGTCATGCGATCAAAGGTTAGACATTGTGGTGGAAACTTTCCCTGTATGATATATATATATATATATACATACATACATACACATATATATATATATATATATATATATATATATATATATATATATATATATATATATATATATATATATATATACATGTATACATATATATATATGTATATGTGTCTGTTTCTGTGTGTCTGTTAGTTGATTATATGTGTGTATGCAATGTATAACTAGAAAGACACTTTTTGCAAACTTCAAATACAGTCATGTATTTAGTTTTACAAATTTCTGTTTTACAAATTTCCGTCTTAAATGTTGTGGCTCACGACAGATTAAAAAAAAAACATACATGACATGACAGACTTACATGTCATGACAGACATACATGTCATGACATGACAGACATACATGACATGACAGACATACATGACATGCACATGACATATCTATGACAGACCCATGCAGCATATAAAATCACCTGCACTGATTTCTCTGCATTGAGTGTGTATTTTGTTTTATAAAGAAAAACCGCAAGGGCCGAAGGTTAAGTCGATAGATCGATATTTTGTAATCAGTGAATGGTTTTTTCTGTGGTGTGGGGCGGGTGAGGACTGGGTTAAAATTGGTTCAAGGACGTTCAGAGTGCTAAACAAAATCATCACACATCATCACACATCATCAGACATCATCACACATCATCACACATCATCAGACATCATCACACATTAACACACATCATCACACATCATCACACATCATCAGACATCATCAGACATCATCACACATTAACACACATCATCACACATCATCACACATCATCACACATCATCAGACATCATCAGACATCATCAGACATCATCACACATCATCATACATCATCACACATCATCAGACATCATCACACATCATCAGACATCATCATACATCATCACACATCATCAGACATCATCACACACCATCACACATCATCAGACATCATCACACATCATCAGACATCATCAGACATCATCACACATCATCACACATCATCACACATCATCACACATCATCACACATCATCAGACATCATCACACATCATCAGACATCATCACACATCATCACACATCATCAGACATCATTACTCATCATCACACATCATCACACATCATCACACATCATCACACATCATTACTCATCATCACACATCATCACACATCATCACACATCATCACACATCATCACACATCATCAGACATCATCACACATCATCAGACATCATCAGACATCATCACACATCATCACACATCATCACACATCATCACACATCATCACACATCATCAGACATCATCACACATCAACACCCATCTTCCCAAATCATCACACGCCATCAAACATCAAACATCATCAAACGCCATCAAACATCATCACACATCATCACACGCCATCAAACATCATAATATCCGTGTCACGTAACATTTAGAAGTATTCTTAAGCACGTTTGTTGTCTATATGTGTCGTCTATGTATGATGTCTATGTATGCTTCTATATGTTGTCTATGTGTGTTGTCTATGTATGATGTCTATGTATGTTGTCTATGTGTGTTGTCTATGTATGATGTCTATGTGTGTTGTCTATGTATGTTGTCTATGTGTGTTGTCTATGTGTGATGTCTATATATGTTGTCTATGTATGTTGTCTATGTATGTTGTCTACGTGTGTTGTCTATGTTACACATAGAGATGTATGTCCCCCAAAAATTATTTGAAAATGTCCGACTGCGGCACGTGCAGCTTAGCAGAAGTGTGACGTCACAGCTAACGTGTTGTGAGCTTTAGCAGACGTACATTAACAGCTGGTACACTCGGTCACGTGACATTCCCTGCACCGTATCGATCTGATGCTCTCTCGACACGGTCGAGTGATTTCATAGCTGGTCATTGGGACAGCGAAAGTAGGTTAATTACTTAGGTGCACACTCAGTTATGTTAGTTTACATATCACGCTACTAATTGGCCTCTACTTAAGGTAATGTTGGTCGGTGGTTAGGGTTAGGGTTATTTGACTAAAGCTGTAAGGTCCACAACAATGATATTAAGACTAAAATAACTTTGTGACGCCTGCAAACTATTCGTCTACAACACACCCTACCATAAACTTCGTACCTTTGTCTAATGAAACCCGAAACGTACCAGTAACTGACATATGAGGCTACAGTGTATCTTATTAAAGTTAGCGTCAACAGATCGAAAGGACAGAAAAATTAAAGTTTTTTATAAGTCGATTCTACACTTGAATCAATGTCATATTGGACTGTAGCTCTCTTAATTAGAAAGCACACAATTGACCAGCGATTGAAGATTGATAACAGTAATAAACACATACGATACAGCTGCTATAATTAACGATCGTAATTTTATTTAATACCTAGAAGCAAGGGCACGATTTTTTTCGCTGATGTATCTGATATTTTGGTAACGTCTTTTTGAAAACTACAACCCTAAACCTATAAAAACCTAATCTCCCCCCCCCCCCCCACCCCAATGTTAGCTGAAGATTTAGCTGGACTGGTGCAAATGTTCGCGTGTTCCAATTGTCCAAAGATTTGAAAACTTTGACGACTTCACGTTTAGCAAGACAAGTAGGCCACCACCTGACACATGTTGAATTCATTGTCTTACAGTCACCCTCTCCCCCACCCCCCACCCAACACGTCTGCGGGGGGTAGGGTGGAACTTCATTATTCCCGTCCATCTAGTCGACCTATGGGTGTTTTATTGTACCAGCTGGGTGATGCTGGCTTTACACATTGTAATTGACCGAGTCGATCAACAAACAGATGCTCATCTAATTTAACAATTATTCTTTGCATTCATTGACTAGCCATTATTCAAGGAATTAGTGACAAGCAATTATTCTACAAATACATTGACAAGCCATTATTCAAGGAATTAGTGACAAGCAATTATTCAACAAATACATTGACAAGCCATTATTCAATGAGTACGTCGACCAAATGACAACTAGGGTGTTAACAGCTATTGGATGTTCTATCGTATTGGGAATACTTAACGTGCGTAGCTGTAATCATTGAACGATACTGAGTTAAAATCTTGTTTATGTTCAACCGTCCTGAAAAAGCTAGGTAAAACATTTCTGCTGACTTACTCCTCCTGACAACTAGCCTCCCCTGTTGCCATGACACTGACACTAGCCTCCATGTTGTCATGACACTGACTGCCACTACCTTTGTCACCAGCCCCAGTGCCCGGATGTAGTCAATGAGCCCCACAATCCACCATTTTTACTCATCTACTGACGTCATGTCTCGCGGCGGAGGAGGGGGAGGTGGCTCTGATAAGGTGAGTACTTTCTTCAGTACTACACAGGTACTACACAAGTACTTTCTTCTGTACTTCACAAGTACTTTCTTCAGTACTACATAAGTACTACAAAGTACTACAAAGTACTACACAAGTACTTTCTTCTGTACTACACAAGTACTTTCTCCAGTACTTCATAAGTACTTTCTTCAGTACTACACAAGTACTTCATAAGTACTTTCTTCAGTAGTACACAAGTACTTCACAAGTACTTTCTTCAGTACTTTCTTCTGTACTTCACAAGTACTTTCTTCTGTACTACACATGTACTTCACAAGTACTTTCTTCTTTACTACACAAGCACTTTCTTCTATACTACACAAGTACTTTCTTCTGTACTACACCAGTACTTTACAAGTATTTTCTTCAGTAGTACCCAAGTACTTTCTTCTGATCTTGAAGTCACGCTGCCACGATTTCAATATTATTTCTCTACGTGATCTCTATTGTTAACTGTAGATCTCTCATGTCGTATGTCAGTGTGATCTTCATGTCACTACGTGATCTCTAATGTCACGTCACTACGTGATCTCTAATGTCACGTCACAACGTGATGTCTAATATCACGTCACCACGTGATCTCTAATGCCACGGCACCACGTGATCTCTAATGTCACGTCACCACGTGATCTCTAATATCACGTCACTACGTGATCTCTAATGTCACGTCACCACGTGATCTCTAATGTCACGTAACTACGTGATCTCTAATGTCACGTTACCACGTGATCTCTAATGTCACGTTACCACGTGATCTCTAATGTCACGTCACCACGTGATCTCTAATGTCACGTCACCACGTGATCTCTAATATCACGTCACAACGTGATCTCTAATGTCACGTCGCTACGTGATCTCTAATGTCACGTCACCACGTGATGTCTAATGTCACGTCACCACGTGATCTCTAATGTCACGTCACCACGTGATGTCTAATATCACGTCACCACGTGATGTCTAATATCACGTCACCACGTGATCTCTAATGTCACGTCACCACGTGATCTCTAATGTCATGCACCACGTGACGTCAGCAGGTGATGAGGCTGAATGTGGGCGGGACCTTCTACACGACGACCAAGCCCACCCTCCAGGCGGTGCCCGGGACCTTCTTACACCAGATCTCGACTGGTGCCCAGTACTGCCCCAGAGATGACCGCGGCTATTACGTCATAGACCGGGACGGACACGCCTTCAGGTAATGACTCCATGTGTTGAGTGGCAGCTTTAGAAATGTCATACCTGACATCATGTCAGTCCATCCACACTGTCGTAGCGTGGACTATTTGTAATGTTTTGTTAATGGTATCGATTGAAGGAACTCTATACAGCTTAGTGTCTGCACATAATTCAAGTAATTTTAAAACGCTATACAAAGTGTGATGTGAACAATTATCTATTTAAATAACGAGAGCGAATGGTACATGTAAAGCTAACTACGTGTTGACTTATTGTATAAGGGGGATAATCTGGTAGCATTTTGATTGTTGATCAATTAACTCTAGGTGGTAGGTGGGCAAACACTTATTCGGTACACTAAAGATAAAAAAAAAAAGTAAACATTCTTCTTTAGACCTTGCAATATATTGGGCAGACCAAGTAGAGTTGTTCTGTTTCTTAACCTCGGTCATATGTCTAAACTGTAGTTATTTCGTCTGTTGTATTGAGGACGGTCCTTGTAATGTTGGTGGTGTCGTTGACTGTTGTATTGAGGACCGTCACTTGTAATGTTGGTGGTGTTGTTGACTGTTGTATTGAGGACCGTCACTTGTAATGTTGGTGGTGTCGTTGACTGTTGTATTGAGGACCGTCACTTGTAATGTTGGTGGTGTTGTTGTATTGAGGACCGTCACTTGTAATGTTGGTGGTGTTGTTGACTGTTGTATTGAGGACCGTCACTTGTAATGTTGATGGTGTCGTTGACTGTTGTATTGAGGACCGTCACTTGTAATGTTGGTGGTGTTGTTCACTGTTGTATTGAGGACCATCACTTGTAATGTTGGTGGTGTTGTTGACTGTTGTATTGAGCACCATCACTTGTAATGTTGGTGGTGTTGTTGACTGTTGTATTGAGGACCGTCCTTGTAATGTTGATGGTGTTGTTGTATTGAGGACCGTCACTTGTAATGTTGGTGGTGTTGTTGACTGTTGTATTGAGGACCGTCACTTGTAATGTTGGTGGTGTTGTTGACTGTTGTATTGAGGACCGTCCTTGTAATGTTGATGGTGTTGTTGTATTGAGGACCGTCACTTGTAATGTTGGTGGTGTTGTTGACTGTTGTATTGAGGACCGTCCTTGTAATGTTGGTGGTGTTGTTGACTGTTGTATTGAGGACCGTCACTTGTAATGTTGGTGGTGTTGTTGACTGTTGTATTGAGGACCGTCCTTGTAATGTTGATGGTGTTGTTGTATTGAGGACCGTCACTTGTAATGTTGGTGGTGTTGTTGACTGTTGTATTGAGGACCGTCCTTGTAATGTTGGTGGTGTTGTTGACTGTTGTATTGAGGACCGTCACTTGTAATGTTGGTGGTGTTGTTGACTGTTGTATTGAGGACCGTCCTTGTAATGTTGGTGGTGTTGTTGTATTGAGGACCGTCACTTGTAATGTTGGTGATGTTGTTGACTGTTGTATTGAGGACCGTCCTTGTAATGTTGGTGGTGTTGTTGTATTGAGGACCGTCACTTGTAATGTTGATGGTGTTGTTGACTGTTGTATTGAGGACCGTCACTTGTAATGTTGGTGGTGTTGTTGACTGTTGTATTGAGGACCGTCCTTGTAATGTTGGTGGTGTTGTTGTATTGAGGACCGTCACTTGTAATGTTGGTGGTGTTGTTGACTGTTGTATTGAGGACCGTCCTTGTAATGTTGGTGGTGTTGTTGCATTGAGGACCGTCCTTGTAATGTTGGTGGTGTGGTTGTATTGAGGACCGTCACTTGTAATGTTGGTGGTGTGGTTGTATTGAGGACCGTCACTTGTAATGTTGGTGGTGTGGTTGTATTGAGGACCGTCACTTGTAATGTTGGTGGTGTTGTTGACTGTTGTATTGAGGACCGTCACTTGTAATGTTGGTGGTGTTGTTGTATTGAGGACCGTCCTTGTAATGTTGGTGGTGTTGTTGTATTGAGGACCGTCACTTGTAATGTTGATGGTGTTGTTGTATTGAGGACCGTCACTTGTAATGTTGGTGGTGTTGTTGACTGTTGTATTGAGGACCGTCACTTGTAATGTTGGTGGTGTTGTTGACTGTTGTATTGAGGACCGTCACTTGTAATGTTGGTGGTGTTGTTGTATTGAGGACCGTCACTTGTAATGTTGGTGGTGTTGTTGTATTGAGGACCGTCACTTGTAATGTTGGTGGTGTTGTTGTATTGAGGACCGTCACTTGTAATGTTGGTGGTGTTGTTGTATTGAGGACCGTCACTTGTAATGTTGGTGGTGTTGTTGACTGTTGTATTGAGGACCGTCACTTGTAATGTTGGTGGTGTTGTTGACTGTTGTATTGAGGACCGTCCTTGTAATGTTGGTGGTGTTGTTGACTGTTGTATTGAGGACAGTCCTTGTAATGTTGATGGTGTTGTTGACTGTTGTATTGAGGACAGTCCTTGTAATGTTGGTGGTGTTGTTGACTGTTGTATTGAGGACAGTCCTTGTAATGTTGGTGGTGTTGTTGACTGTTGTATTGAGGACAGTCCTTGTAATGTTGGTGGTGTTGTTGACTGTTGTATTGAGGACCGTCACTTGTAATGTTGGTGGTGTTGTTGACTGTTGTATTGAGGACCGTCCTTGTTATGTTGGTGGTGTTGTTGACTGTTGTATTAAGGACCGTCCTTGTAATGTTGGTGGTGTTGTTGTATTGAGGACAGTCCTTGTAATGTTGATGGTGTTGTTGACTGTTGTATTGAGGACCGTCACTTGTAATGTTGATGGTGTTGTTGACTGTTGTATTGAGGACAGTCCTTGTAATGTTGGTGGTGTTGTTGACTGTTGTATTGAGGACCGTCACTTGTAATGTTGGTGGTGTTGTTGACTGTTGTATTGAGGACCGTCCTTGTAATGTTGGTGGTGTTGTTGACTGTTGTATTAAGGACCGTCCTTGTAATGTTGATGGTGTTGTTGACTGTTGTATTGAGGACCGTCACTTGTAATGTTGGTGGTGTTGTTGACTGTTGTATTGAGGACCGTCACTTGTAATGTTGGTGGTGTTGTTGACTGTTGTTTTGAGGACCGTCACTTGTAATGTTGATGGTGTTGTTGACTGTTGTATTGAGGACCGTCACTTGTAATGTTGGTGGTGTTGTTGACTGTTGTATTGAGGACCGTCACTTGTAATGTTGGTGGTGTTGTTGACTGTTGTATTGAGGACCGTCACTTGTAATGTTGATGGTGTTGTTGACTGTTGTATTGAGGACCGTCACTTGTAATGTTGGTGGTGTTGTTGACTGTTGTATTGAGGACCGTCACTTGTAATGTTGATGGTGTTGTTGACTGTTGTATTGAGGACCGTCACTTGTAATGTTGGTGGTGTTGTTGACTGTTGTATTGAGGACCGTCACTTGTAATGTTGATGGTGTTGTTGACTGTTGTATTGAGGACCGTCACTTGTAATGTTGGTGGTGTTGTTGACTGTTGTATTGAGGACCGTCACTTGTAATGTTGATGGTGTTGTTGACTGTTGTATTGAGGACCGTCACTTGTAATGTTGGTGGTGTTGTTGACTGTTGTATTGAGGACCGTCACTTGTAATGTTGGTGGTGTTGTTGACTGTTGTATTAAGGACCGTCCTTGTAATGTTGGTGGTGTTGTTGTATTGAGGACAGTCCTTGTAATGTTGATGGTGTTGTTGACTGTTGTATTGAGGACCGTCACTTGTAATGTTGATGGTGTTGTTGACTGTTGTATTGAGGACAGTCCTTGTAATGTTGGTGGTGTTGTTGACTGTTGTATTGAGGACCGTCACTTGTAATGTTGGTGGTGTTGTTGACTGTTGTATTGAGGACCGTCCTTGTAATGTTGGTGGTGTTGTTGACTGTTGTATTAAGGACCGTCCTTGTAATGTTGATGGTGTTGTTGACTGTTGTATTGAGGACCGTCACTTGTAATGTTGGTGGTGTTGTTGACTGTTGTATTGAGGACCGTCACTTGTAATGTTGGTGGTGTTGTTGACTGTTGTATTGAGGACCGTCACTTGTAATGTTGATGGTGTTGTTGACTGTTGTATTGAGGACCGTCACTTGTAATGTTGGTGGTGTTGTTGACTGTTGTATTGAGGACCGTCACTTGTAATGTTGGTGGTGTTGTTGACTGTTGTATTGAGGACCGTCACTTGTAATGTTGATGGTGTTGTTGACTGTTGTATTGAGGACCGTCACTTGTAATGTTGGTGGTGTTGTTGACTGTTGTATTGAGGACCGTCACTTGTAATGTTGATGGTGTTGTTGACTGTTGTATTGAGGACCGTCACTTGTAATGTTGGTGGTGTTGTTGACTGTTGTATTGAGGACCGTCACTTGTAATGTTGATGGTGTTGTTGACTGTTGTATTGAGGACCGTCACTTGTAATGTTGGTTGTGTTGTTGACTGTTGTATTGAGGACCGTCACTTGTAATGTTGGTGGTGTTGTTGACTGTTGTATTGAGGACCATCCTTGTAATGTTGATGGTGTTGTTGTATTGAGGGCCGTCACTTGTAATGTTGGTGGTGTGGTTGTATTGAGGACCGTCACTTGTAATGTTGGTGGTGTTGTTGACTGTTGTATTGAGGGCCGTCACTTGTAATGTTGGTGGTGTGGTTGTATTGAGGACCGTCACTTGTAATGTTGGTGGTGTTGTTGACTGTTGTATTGAGGACCGTCCTTGTAATGTTGGTGGTGTTGTTGACTGTTGTATTGAGGACCGTCACTTGTAATGTTGGTGGTGTTGTTGACTGTTGTATTGAGGACCGTCACTTGTAATGTTGGTGGTGTGGTTGTATTGAGGACCGTCACTTGTAATGTTGGTGGTGTGGTTGTATTGAGGACCGTCACTTGTAATGTTGGTGGTGTTGTTGACTGTTGTATTGAGGACCATCACTTGTAATGTTGGTGGTGTGGTTGTATTGAGGACCGTCATTTGTAATGTTGGTGGTGTGGTTGTATTGAGGACCGTCACTTGTAATGTTGGTGGTGTGGTTGTATTGAGGACCGTCATTTGTAATGTTGGTGGTGTTGTTGACTGTTGTATTGAGGACCATCCTTGTAATGTTGATGGTGTTGTTGACTGTTGTATTGAGGACCGTCACTTGTAATGTTGGTGGTGTGGTTGTATTGAGGACCGTCCTTGTAATGTTGATGGTGTTGTTGACTGTTGTATTGAGGACCATCACTTGTAATGTTGGTGGTGTTGTTGACTGTTGTATTGAGGACCGTTTCTTGTAATGTTGGTGGTGTGGTTGTATTGAGGACCGTCACTTGTAATGTTGGTGGTGTTGTTGACTGTTGTATTGAGGACCGTCCTTGTAATGTTGATGGTGTTGTTGACTGTTGTATTGAGGACCGTCACTTGTAATGTTGATGGTGTTGTTGACTGTTGTATTGAGGACCGTCCTTGTAATGTTGGTGGTGTTGTTGACTGTTGTATTGAGGACCGTCACTTGTAATGTTGGTGGTGTGGTTGTATTGAGGACCGTCACTTGTAATGTTGGTGGTGTGGTTGTATTGAGGACCGTCACTTGTAATGTTGGTGGTGTGGTTGTATTGAGGACCGTCACTTGTAATGTTGGTGGTGTGGTTGTATTGAGGACCGTCATTTGTAATGTTGGTGGTGTTGTTGACTGTTGTATTGAGGACCATCCTTGTAATGTTGATGGTGTTGTTGTATTGAGGGCCGTCACTTGTAATGTTGGTGGTGTGGTTGTATTGAGGACCGTCACTTGTAATGTTGGTGGTGTTGTTGACTGTTGTATTGAGGACCGTCACTTGTAATGTTGGTGGTGTGGTTGTATTGAGGACCGTCACTTTTAATGTTGGTGGTGTTGTTGACTGTTGTATTGAGGACCGTCACTTGTAATGTTGGTGGTGTTGTTGACTGCTGTATTGAGGACCGTCCTTGTAATGTTGGTGGTGTTGTTGACTGTTGTATTGAGGACAGTCCTTGTAATGTTGGTGGTGTTGTTGACTGTTGTATTGAGGACCATCACTTGTAATGTTGGTGGTGTTGTTGTATTGAGGACCGTCACTTGTAATGTTGGTGGTGTTGTTGTATTGAGGACCGTCACTTGTAATGTTGGTGGTGTTGTTGACTGTTGTATTGAGGACCGTCACTTGTAATGTTGATGGTGTTGTTGTATTGAGGGCCGTCACTTGTAATGTTGGTGGTGTGGTTGTATTGAGGACCGTCACTTGTAATGTTGGAGTGTTGTTGACTGTTGGATTAAGGACCGTCCTTGTAATGTTGGTGGTGTTGTTGACTGTTGTAATGAGGACCGTCACTTGTAATGTTGGTGGTGTTGTTGTATTGAGGACCGTCACTTGTAATGTTGATGGTGTTGTTGACTGTTGTATTGAGGACCGTCACTTGTAATGTTGGTGGTGTTGTTGACTGTTGTATTAAGGACCGTCCTTGTAATGTTGATGGTGTTGTTGACTGTTGTAATGAGGACCGTCACTTGTAATGTTGGTGGTGTTGTTGTATTGAGGACCGTCACTTGTAATGTTAATGGTGTTGTTGACTGTTGTATTGAGGACCGTCACTTGTAATGTTGGTGGTGTTGTTGTATTGAGGACCGTCCTTGTAATGTTGGTGGTGTTGTTGACTGTTGTAATGAGGACCGTCACTTGTAATGTTGGTGGTGTTGTTGTATTGAGGACCGTCACTTGTAATGTTGGTGATGTTGTTGACTGTTGTATTGAGGACCGTCACTTGTAATGTTGGTGGTGTGGTTGTATTGAGGACCGTCACTTGTAATGTTGGTGGTGTTGTTGACTGTTGTATTAAGGACCGTCACTTGTAATGTTGATGGTGTTGTTGACTGTTGTATTGAGGACCGTCACTTGTAATGTTGGTGGTGTGGTTGTATTGAGGACCGTCACTTGTAATGTTGGTGGTGTTGTTGACTGTTGTATTGAGGACCGTCACTTGTAATGTTGGTGGTGTTGTTGACTGTTGTATTGAGGATCATCACTTGTAATGTTGGTGGTGTTGTTGACTGTTGTATTGAGGACCATCACTTGTATTGTTGGTGGTGTGGTTGTATTGAGGACCGTCACTTGTAATGTTGGTGGTGTGGTTGTATTGAGGACCGTCACTTGTAATGTTGGTGGTGTTGTTGACTGTTGTATTGAGGACCGTCACTTGTAATGTTGGTGGTGTTGTTGACTGTTGTATTGAGGATCATCACTTGTAATGTTGGTGGTGTTGTTGACTGTTGTATTGAGGATCATCACTTGTAATGTTGGTGGTGTTGTTGACTGTTGTATTGAGGACCGTCCTTGTAATGTTGATGGTGTTGTTGTATTGAGGACCGTCCTTGTAATGTTGGTGGTGTTGTTGACTGTTGTATTGAGGATCATCACTTGTAATGTTGGTGGTGTTGTTGACTGTTGTATTGAGGACCGTCCTTGTAATGTTGGTGGTGTTGTTGACTGTTGTATTAAGGACCGTCCTTGTAATGTTGATGGTGTTGTTGACTGTTGTATTGAAGACAGTCCTTGTAATGTTGGTGGTGTTGTTGACTGTTGTATTGAGGACCGTCACTTGTAATGTTGGTGGTGTTGTTGACTGTTGTAATGAGGACCGTCCTTGTAATGTTGGTGGTGTTGTTGACTGTTGTATTGAGGACCGTTATTGTAATGTTGGTGGTGTGGTTGTATTGAGGACCGTCACTTGTAATGTTGGTGGTGTGGTTGTATTGAGGACCGTCACTTGTAATGTTGATGGCGTTGTTGACTGTTGTATTAAGGACCGTCCTTGTAATGTTGATGGTATTGTTGACTGTTGTATTGAGGACCGTCCTTGTAATGTTGGTGGTGTTGTTGACTGTTGTATTAAGGACCGTCCTTGTAATGTTGATGGTATTGTTGACTGTTGTATTGAGGACCGTCCTTGTAATGTTGGTGGTGTTGTTGACTGTTGTATTGAGGACCGTCCTTGTAATGTTGATGGCGGTCATAAAACTGTGTGTTGCAGGTATGTCCTGAACTTTTTGAGAACCTCCAAGTTGATCGTGCCTATGGGATACAGGGAGCTCGACATTCTCAGGGAAGAGGGGGAGTTCTACGGTTTGGAGAAACTGGTAAGTTGGGGGGGGGGGGGTGGTGAGTGAGGGGGTGGGGGAGTTCTACGGTTTGGAGAAACTGATGAGTTGGGGGGGGGGGGGTGGTGACTGAGGGGGTGGGGGAGTTCTACGGTTTGGAGAAACTGGTGAGTTGGGGGGGTGGTGAGTGAGGGGGTGGGGGAGTTCTACGGTTTGGAGAAACTGGTGAGTTGAAGGTGGAAGGTGTGGGTGTGGGGTGATGAATGAGCTAGTGAAGGGGGGTAAGAGGAAATTGTGTTGGGGTGGGGTGGTGAATGGGATGGCCTTTAGTGTGTGAAGTGGGCGCGTTAGATTTAGCCTGTTAGGTTTAGCCTGTTAGGTTTAGCCTGTTAGGTTTAGCCTATTAGGTTTAGCCTATTAGGTTTAGCCTGTTAGGTTTAGCCTGTTAGGTTTAGCCTGTTAGTGTTAACCTGTTAGGTTTAGCCTGTTAGGTTTAGCCTTTTAGGTTTAGCCTGTTACGTTTAGCCTGTTAGGTTCAGCCTATTAGTGTTAGCCTGTTAGGTTTAGCCTGTTAGGTTTAGCCTGTTAGTGTTAGCCTGTTAGGTTTAGCCTGTTAGTGTTAGCCTGTTAGGTTTAGCCTGTTAGGTTTAGCCTGTTAGTGTTAGCCTGTTAGGTTTAGCCTGTTAGGTTTAGCCTGTTAGGTTTAGCCTGTTAGTGTTAGCCTGTTAGGTTTAGCCTGTTAGATTTAGCCTGTTAGTGTTTGCCTGTTAGGTTTAGCCTGTTAGGTTTAGCCTGTTAGGTTTAGCCTGTTAGGTTTAGCCTGTTAGGTTTAGCCCGTTAGTGTTAGCCTGTTAGTGTTAGCCTGTTAGGTTTAGCCTGTTAGGTTTAGCCTGTTAGGCTAGGAAAGATTTCTGTCAGACGTAAACCCCCTGGCTCATCTGGACGTGTGTCATTAATGTCATCTGGACGTGTGTCATTAATGTCATCTGGACGTGTGTCATTAATGTCATCTGGACGTGTGTCATTAATGTCATCTGGACGTGTGTCATTAATGTCATCTTGACATGTGTCATTAATGTCATCTGGACGTGTGTCATTAATGTCATCTGGACGTGTGTCATTAATGTCATCTGGACGTGTGTCATTAATGTCATCTTGACATGTGTCATTAATGTCATCTGGACGTGTGTCATTAATGTCATCTGGACGTGTGTCATTAATGTCATCTGGACGTGTGTCATTAATGTCATCTTGACATGTGTCATTAATGTCATCTGGACGTGTGTCATTAATGTCATCTGGACGTGTGTCATTAATGTCATCTGGATGTGTGTCATTAATGTCATCCAAGTGTTGGATCTAGTTTGATCAAACTTTTAAAACTTCATTATGAGTAAGCTCTGGAAAAAAACCCGGGAAAAAACAAGTTTTAAATAATGAGCCCTATTAGTAAATGAAGGATCAATGATTATATGGCCGATAAATATGTTAGTTTACGAATTTTTAGAACTCCACTAAAGGTTATTTTTTTAAGATTGCCGCCGTTGCCATGGCAACCATATTTTCAAAAGAGTCCCTGATGCTTGCAAATATGTTCCTTTAAGTACCCTTAGATATACACAAATAAATAAATAAAACATATCTTTTCTTTGGCCTTGTTAAACCCCTGTGTGACCTTGACCTCTTGACCTGTGTGCAGGTGGCCGCCATTGACAGTATTATTGACCTGAAGAAGAGAAAGGCCAGGGCCAGACGATGGAACGGCGCGGCCAAACGACTGAGTGCCAGTGTGGGGGAAAACCTCAATAACCTGCCCGAGGACGACGGGGATGATCTCGACTTCTTCGAGGACAGCTGGATTGGTGGCACGGCCAGCTGTCTGCCCCATTAGACGGCCAGCTGTCTGCCCCATTAGACGGCCAGCTGTCTGCCCCATTAGACGGCCAGCTGTCTGCCCCATTAGACGGCCAGCTGTCTGCCCCATTAGACGGCCAGCTGTCTGCCCCATTAGTGCTAGACGGCCAGCTGTCTGCCCCATTAGACGGCCAGCTGTCTGCCCCATTAGCGCTGGACGGCCAGCTGTCTGCCCCATTAGACGGCCAGCTGTCTGCCCCATTAGCGCTGGACGGCCAGCTGTCTGCCCCATTAGTGCTAGACGGCCAGCTGTCTGCCCCATTAGTGCTAGACGGCCAGCTGTCTGCCCCATTAGACGGCCAGCTGTCTGCCCCATTAGACGGTCAGCTGTCTGCCCCATTAGCGCTGGACGGCCAGCTGTCTGCCCCATTAGACGGCCAGCTGTCTGCCCCATTAGACGGCCAGCTGTCTGCCCCATTAGACGGCCAGCTGTCTGCCCCATTGGATGGCCAGCTGTCTGCCCCATTAGTGCTGGACGGCCAGCTGTCTGCCCCATTAGTGCTGGACGGCCAGCTGTCTGCCCCATTAGTGCTGGACGGCCAGCTGTCTGCCCCATTAGACGGCCAGCTGTCTGCCCCATTAGACGGCCAGCTGTCTGCCCCATTAGACGGCCAGCTGTCTGCCCCATTAGACGGCCAGCTGTCTGCCCCATTAGTGCTGACGGCCAGCTGTCTGCCCCATTAGTGCTGGACACTCGTCACTCATCACTTGAGTGAACACTCCGTGGAAATACATCACTCAGCTTTTGAGTCTATCATACGACCAGTATCTGAACCACCACTATGATGTGTGAATGTGGACCCCATCAGTTAGAGACACCAAACTGTTGATTTGTTTCTCTTATATTGTGAGGTACCTTCTGGAAATATTTTTAAACTGTCTCCACTAGAATGAAATTTTCAAAAGAGTTTAATTTTTAGGACTCCAAATTTAGATTACAACAGAGGTTGCTCCATGTATACAAGTGTTCCAAAACAAAAGTTTCAACGTGCTCTAAAAATAAACCTGAAAAACTTGGCCCACCTGTATATAAAAGGCTGTGACTCAACTTACTTCGAGGGAAGTAATGCCGTAAACCCTGGATACTTCGTATTTCAAAAGATGGCTAGAAATTGATCTGGCAAGCACCAGCATCTCTACTTGGTATTTCGACCAACTGGCTAAGTGTTAAATGCTGGTGTTTGCCACACTTCCACATTCACCACCAGGGTGTGGGTGTCAACAAATCAGCAGACAGTCTTACAACCACCGACCAGCAGGTTCGAACCTTCCAGGCTACCCACTCCACCCCTGCAATACTGTCCAACCTTTTGGTCAGCCAATCAACTCCCAATTAATGTGTTCCAAAGACTTGATTACTGGTCATTTAATTATGATATTTGAAATGTACTTTATTTTTAAACATTTACATTTGATTTTACATCCATGTTGAATACACTTTTTTTTACTGCTGTGCTGTGAGGTCAGGGTAAGGGATTTCCCTTTGACCTATTATTGTACTGTGGGATTTCCCAATAACCTGTTGTATTACTGTGGGGATTCCCAATAAACTACTATTGTATTGTAGGATTCCCCTATCATTGCATTGATTATATTTCAGTTGCATTGAATGATTACACTTTAAGCCTGTAAACAACAAAAAAATTATTTCTGGATATGGGATGGAATCTCTGAGGGCTGGTTTAGCTTGGTGTATTTGCTTCTGATCTTTGATATTATTGCTATAACTAATGTTATTGCTATAACTAATGTTATTGCTATAACTAATGTTATTGCTATAACTAATGTTATTGCTATAACTAATTTTATTGCTATAACTAATGTTATTGCTGTAGCTGTACATTCCTATTGTTGCTGTGTTGTTATAATTTAGAAATATTTGAAGAGTGTTTGATGGGCCAGATTGAAACGGTTCAAGTCTCCATATGACGACATATTCCTGTTTGGTCCTGACTTCAATGTGTTGTTTATATGCTACTCATGACCCGTATGTTAAAGCTCAATGATCTGATACCTTGGTGTGAGTCGCTGGATACTTTAATGAGAATCTTTAATCTCTTGCTCAGTCTAATTCTAGCCAGGCAAACTTGGTAACATTTAGAGAATTCCTGCCCCAGACACTCCAATCAATACATTTTTCTCAGGTATTTTTCTTTATGATGCATGACTACATTTATACACAGCCCAGATGGGAAATTGAAATCTAATTATAATTTGATTAGATTATTTTAATTATAAAACAATAGAGAAAGTTGTATTTTAAGAATTCCCTTGATTGCCAGATAAATGATCAAATATTTGGCCAGATGATGGTGTATGTACTTGCTCACAATGTAATCAGCTCTTTCAAGTGTGTGTGTCAATTGATGAGAGTTTGGCCAACTTTCAAGTGTGTGTGTCAATTGATGAGAGTTTGGCCAACTGTCAAGTGTGTGTGTCAATTGATGAGAGTTTGGCCAACTGTCAAGTGTGTGTGTCAATTGATGAGAGTTTGGCCAACTATCAAGCAATTCTTTAAGTCTATGCTGTAATGGCATAAGTGTTTTGTGCAAACAATTTATTAAATGTTGTATAAAAAAATTAAACATACACACAGAGAAATAGAACATTTTTAAAAATGGTAGGTTCACATTGACTGCTGCTTTTTGTAAACATTGTATGACCTAAGAACACAATTTTCCCACTATTCTCCAGTTTATCTAAGTTGTATAACAAGTTTGTGTGTGTTTTTGTAATACTAAATAAATCTTTGTACATCAGAAAGCTAAACTCGATAGCTTTCTAAAAGCTTCTAGATCTACATTTTTTGAAACACATTTGCAAATTACAAGTTAATTAAAAAGTTAGCACTAATGATAAACACATACTTGATCACCAAAAGATCACTTACAATCATTTTAGTCAACTAAAATATGTAGGTCACCTAGTGAGACTAAAATATGTAGGTCAGCTAGTGATACTAAATATGTAGGTCAGCTAATGAAACTAAAATATGTAGGTCAGCTAGTGACACTAAAATATGTAGGTCAGCTAGTGATACTAAATATGTAGGTCAGCTAATGAAACTAAAATATGTAGGTCAGCTAGTGAGACTAAAATATGTAGGTCAGCTAGTGAGACTTAAAAATGTATGTCAGTGAAACTAAAATATGTAGGTCAGCTATTGAAACTAAAATATGTAGGTCAGCTAGTGAGACTTAAAAATGTATGTCAGTGAAACTAAAATATGTAGGTCAGCTATTGAAACTAAAACATGTAGGTCAGCTATTGAAACTAAAATATGTAGGTCAGCTATTGAAACTAAAATATGTAGGTCAGCTATTGAAACTAAAATATGTAGGTCAGCTATTGAAACTAAAACATGTAGGTCAGCTATTGAAACTAAAACATGTAGGTCAGCTATTGAAACTAAAACATGTAGGTCAGCTATTGAAACTAAAATATGTAGGTCAGCTAGTGAGACTAAAATATGTAGGTCAGCTAGTGAGACTTAAAAATGTATGTCAGTGAAACTAAAATATGTAGGTCAGCTATTGAAACTAAAACATGTAGGTCAGCTATTGAAACTAAAATATGTAGGTCAGCTATTGAAACTAAAATATGTAGGTCAGCTATTGAAACAAAAATATGTAGGTCAGCTATTGAAACTAAAATATGTAGGTCAACTAGTGAAATTAGTTACTTCCACTTTCTGTGTTGAGTACATTCAAAGTGAATGGTTCTCTCACTAGCTCATGTGGATCTTGTCCATAGCTGGGATCTGTAGCTGGGATCTGTAGCTGGGATCTGTAGCTGGGATCTCTAGCTGGGACTTCTAGCTATGATTTCAAGCTGGAACCTTTATTTGTATTGTAATTAGTCATATAAATCACATAAAGAATGTGTGTTTAACTAATATACAAATCTATAAATAACATCTGTATGAAACTTCTATGTATGCTGTTGACCATTTAAAAATATTTCTCCATTCATATAAAGTATATGTATAAGTATAAGTATATAAAGTATAAACCTAGCATTAATGTATAAGGGTACAACCATAAATGTAAAATTAATTTATAAGGGTACCACCATTAACCCAGTAACCATAGCAACTGTATATTGTCCTGATTTGTATAAAACATGTCTATATGTCCGTATCATGTCTTGGAGAGATCACATGTCACATAACATTATACGTTGCAAGATTTGTAATTTAGTTTTACTCTAAGAGTTACTATCACCTGTAATTAATTGAACAATTACCTGAGGCTCTTTAAGCTTCTTGAACCTTCCATATTGTCTAGTTGAACATTTGACTAGGCTAGTATTGACACTGATTTGATACGTGTTATTTTTAATATTACATAATATATTTTTTTAATATTATATTTATAAAACAAAACTAGTGAGTGTTGTTTTGACAAACTGTTTTATCAAATGATTAGGATTAATCATTAGAATCATGATGTTTTATGATGTTTTATAATTATTGCAGCTGTTAGTTACATTAATTTACCCTGTCAAGAGATTAAGATGACAATCTGAAAACATCTCATTATTTAATAATTAACTAATTAATGTTCACATGGATATTCAACCAATTCAGTTATCAAATTAAACATTTTACTTTCTTCATATGCTGATGGTAAAAATGTGACTATCTGCTGATGAGGCAATTATCATGTGCTTAGAGCAAATAAAAGATTGTTGCTTAAAATTGTGTCCATAAAAATATTGTGAAAAATTTTGAAAATAGTTGCTTCCAACCCTTTTATTTTGTTCTTAGAAATGTATTTAAGGCATTTTAAATATTGCTTTAAATGTTTATATTTTTAAATACAAGTATTGGTTTTGGGCATTTTAATCAATATTTTAAATTCACTATAATTATAATTTTGCATTAATTTTCTTGTTGAAATAAATATTAGTGAAAGAATTTAAAACAAATGTATAAAAATGGATTCTGAAGACATTATATTATTTAAAATTTGTCCAGTTTTAAGAAATGAAGATTTTCTATGAGACCAATAAAAGTAAATGCCGGGTATTTTGGTTTGTAAAACACCAACCTTTAATTAAAATACTATTTTCAAATTAATTAAGCCTTAAAACTGTAACCATGACAACTAATTTGTTTATAACATTGTACTGGGAGAGGGGAGACCATTGTTAACTTCTACCATTTTATTTTTGTTTACATGATTTCCATAAAATATTCATCAAGTAATTATTTTAATTAATTAAGCCACAACCACATGTAGACATCAAGAAAAAAACATGTTTTAAAAATATTTTTTTAAGTTAACAATGTATAAAAACTCCTGAAACTGTTGAGATACCTAATAATGTGAATAACATTTTTTTTTCCAAGTTAATATTTTTATTTACTCTACAAAATATGTGTAACATAATCTTTCTACAAAAAAAATATTTACCATGAATTGTGTTCGTCTGAAGAACATTTTAATCTCACTTTTTTTCTCCCATTTTTAGCTTTTGCATTCAATAACTGTTATTTTCATATTGCGATGAACTAGCATTACTTTAGTGAGAACACTATTATTTTGTCCATTAAAATTTATTGTTAATGATCTATCAATACATTCCAGTTCAAATTTGAACATTTTTTCCTAAATTGAAAATGGAATCAGAAATATATTTTGTAAACATTTTTTGGATACACCGTAACCTTCTGCCATCTGATTGCTGCTTTATATCATCCATGTTTGTTGTTTGTGATCTGCTAATGGCTTCAATAATTAGAAAGACCACATCAGGAATAAAGTAGCCCTTGAATTGAAACAAAATCCATGCAATAATTGATTTCTATAGTGAATCTAAGGAGTAAAGACAAGCACCAAAATAGAGTAGAGGCTAGCACTAGCACCCAATAGAGTAGAGGCTAGCACTAGCACCCAACAGAGTAGAGGCTAGCATACAATAGAGTAGAGGCTATCACCCAACAAAGTAGAGGCTATCACCCAACAAAGTAGAGGCTAGCACCCAATAAAGTAGAGGCTAGCACCCAACAGAGTAGAGGCTAGCATACAATAGAGTAGAGGCTATCACCCAACAAAGTAGAGGCTAGCACCCAACAAAGTAGAGGCTAGCACCCAATAGAGTAGAGGCTAGCACCCAATAGAGTTGAGGCTAGCACCCAACAAAGTAGAGGCTATCACCCAACAAAGTAGAGGCTAGCACCCAATAAAGTAGAGGCTAGCACCCAACAGAGTAGAGGCTAGCATACAATAGAGTAGAGGCTATCACCCAACAAAGTAGAGGCTAGCACCCAACAAAGTAGAGGCTAGCACCCAATAGAGTAGAGGCTAGCACCCAATAGAGTTGAGGCTAGCACCCAACAAAGTAGAGGCTAGCACCCAATAGAGTAGTGGCTAGCACCCAATAAAGTAGAGGCTAGCACCCAATAGAGTAGAGGCTAGCACCCAATAGAGTAGAGGCTAGCACCCAATAGAGTAGAGGCTAGCACCCAATAGAGTAGAGGCTAGCACCCAATAAAGTAGAGGCTAGCACCCAATAAAGTAGAGGCTAGCACCCAATAAAGTAGAGGCTAGCACCCAATAGAGTAGAGGCTAGCACCCAATAGAGTAGAGGCTAGCACTAGCACCCAACAGAGTAGAGGCTAGCATACAATAGAGTATAGGCTAGCACCCAATAAAGTAGAGGCTAGCACCCAATAAAGTAGAGGCTAGCACCCAATAGAGTAGAGGCTAGCACCCAATAGAATAGAGGCTAGCACTAGCACCCAACAGAGTAGAGGCTAGCATACAATAGAGTATAGGCTAGCACCCAATAAAGTAGAGGCTAGCACCCAATAAAGTAGAGGCTAGCACCCAATAGAGTAGAGGCTAGCACCCAACAAAGTAGAGGCTAGCACCCAATAAAGTAGAGGCTAGCACCCAATAAAGTAGAGGCTAGCACCCAATAAAGTAGAGGCTAGCACCCAATAGAGTAGAGGCTAGCACCCAACAAAGTAGAGGCTAGCACCCAATAGAGTTGAGGCTAGCACCCAATAAAGTAGAGGCTAGCACCCAATAAAGTAGAGGCTAGCACCCAATAAAGTAGAGGCTAGCACCCAATAAAGTAGAGGCTAGCACCCAATAGAGTAGAGGCTAGCACCCAACAAAGTAGAGGCTAGCACCCAATAAAGTAGAGGCTAGCACCCAATAAAGTAGAGGCTAGCACCCAATAAAGTAGAGGCTAGCACCCAATAGAGTAGAGGCTAGCACCCAACAAAGTAGAGGCTAGCACCCAATAGAGTTGAGGCTAGCACCCAATAGAGTAGAGGCTAGCACCCAATAGAGTAGAGGCTAGCACCCAATAAAGTAGAGGCTAGCACCCAATAGAGTAGAGACTAGCACCCAACAAAGTAGAGGCTAGCACCCAATAGAGTAGAGGCTAGCACCCAATAAAGTAGAGGCTAGCACCCAATAGAGTAGAGGCTAGCACCCAATAGAGTAGAGGCTAGCACCCAACAAAGTAGAGGCTAGCACCCAACAAAGTAGAGGCTAGCACTAGCATCCAATAAAGTAGAGGCTAGCTCTTAATATACTAAAATATTTGGTGAGAAAATGTCCAAATAACAAATATTTTAAGTAGAAAAATCTATTTAGATTTAGAAATATTTTAAATTAAATGTCTATTCTATTTAGGGCGATTCGGAATATCAGTAAAAAATCAGTAGAAAAATCACACTGAAATATTGTCAAGAAAGTTGGATTAGTTCAATATCAGACAGGCCATTTATCTCTGTGTTTGTATTGGTCATTTCAGTTTTTTTAACTAATGTATTAAGTTTTTTACTTTCTAAAACTATGTCATACTTTGTTGCTATCGGTTATTTTTCAATAAAATATCTTGAAAACCCAATTATTTATCATTGTTTTATGTAGTTCTATTAAAAACACGGGTTACGTTTGTTTTAACATGATATTTTGTGTGGGTCTGTGAGCAACAGGTCACGATGACCCCAGCGACTAATGTTCTCACCTGAGGCAAATGTTCTCGGCATCAAAGCACCAACGTCACGTGGTGTGCAGTGTCTCTCAGTGGTGTCGGAATATTCATTTCACATTGTTTTGTTTTAGTTCCGATAATTTTGTTTGTTATCGATAATCGAATTTAAAAAAAAATGTTTTACAAGAACTTGACACAGCTGAACACAACACTTCATATACTTAAACACACCCAACAATCCGCACATCCACCCCGATAAACCATGACACACCTCGAGACATTAAAAAACAACGACACTTTACACAATCACCCCATCAAAACACCCCATCAAAACACCCAATATAAGCGAATCTGTCACCAGTCTAGTAATGACGTCATCATATTTTGCTGCCCTAATTCTCCACAAACTTCCCACTTCCTGTTGCGTCTACTGCTACATGAGTCTAATGATTGAAACAAGACATGTTTTCCTTTGTCTCTCAACGTCTGTTCTGTTTTATAGCGCTGTACATAGCTTATGGGCTAATTACTGGTCAGTTTTTAGTAATCAAACTTAATGGAGATCGTTTTAATCCCGATAATTACTAGTTGTTATATTGATGTGGTGTTTAGAGATTATGTAGATTACTTATCTAATATCTATCTAGAAGATCTAGATTCTAGATCTAGATTCTAGCTATGATATGGTGAAATTATGGTGTGAGTGAAATTATGTGACTGAACACACAATGAAAGAACTCGAGACCAGGGGCGGAACTACAGTGCCGCCATACCCCGCAATGCGGGGGAGGGGGGGTGGCGCCATTTAGGGGCCCACAGCCGACCATAATAATTTTTTTATAGTTAAAAAAAATATATTTTCTTGCATTTTTGACTTGATGGTTGTTTTGTAAAATGATTACCTACTTATACTTTCATTGTTTGACTGTGTTTGAAGCAAGTAGACCTACTTGTACTTTCATTGTTTGGCTGTGTTTGAAGCAAGTAGACCTACTTATACTTTCATTGTTTGACTGTGTTTGAAGCAAGTAGACCTACTTGTACTTTCATTGTTTGGCTGTGTTTGAAGCAAGTAGACCTACTTGTACTTTCATTGTTTGACTGTGTTTGAAGCAAGTAGACCTACTTGTACTTTCATTGTTTGGCTGTGTTTGAAGCAAGTAGACCTACTTGTACTTTCATTGTTTGACTGTGTTTGAAGCAAGTAGACCTACTTGTACTTTCATTGTTTGGCTGTGTTTGAAGCAAGTAGACCTACTTGTACTTTCATTGTTTGGCTGTGTTTGAAGCAAGTAGACCTACTTGTACTTTCATTGTTTGACTGTGTTTGAAGCAAGTAGACCTACTTGTACTTTCATTGTTTGGCTGTGTTTGAAGCAAGTAGACCTACGTGTACTTTCATTGTTTGACTATGTTTGAAGCAAGTAGATCTACTTGTCACAGACGTAAGAAACAGCCAGTAGGAACTGTTGTAAAACTTGCTCAAACTCACCACTCAGCCTTATATCAATACTTGGACAAGTATGTTGGTTGGTCAGGGTTCGGATAAGGTTAGGTTAAGGGTTAAGGTTCGGTTAGGTTAAGGTTAATGTTAGGCTGTGGCGTAGCGAGGCGGCAGGGGGGGGGACGGGGTGGGGGCGGACCACTCCGGGTGACACCATTTAGGGGTTTAGGGGGGTGGCACCAAGGCAAAAAAAAGCAAAATATATAGAGGAAAATGATAATTACACTAAATTAAGTGATTAATTCGAGTGTTAAATAGTTTAAAAGAGGTGCAAATCGAATGTTTGAGGGGGGGGGGGGTGCAAATCGAAAGTTTGAGGGGGGTGGGTGTAAAAACTCGAAAGTTTGAGGGGGGTGCAAGTCGAAAATTGAAAGTTTGTCCCCGGGAAGGGTCGCTACGCTCTTGGGGGGGGGGGGGGTGTCGCCATTAAGTGCCGCACCGGGTGACGCCACTGATGTTAGGTTAGGGTTAAACAAAAAAGTGTACCAAGAAACTTGCTTAGTTCAATCAGCTTTAATCTTGTGCTTGATAAAACATTTGATGGCAAAATATCTGTTTTGAGGAAAAACCAGCTACCATATATATATATATATATATATATATATATATATATATATATATATATATATATATATATATATATATATATATATATATATACATATATATATATATATATATATATATATATGTATATACATAAACATATATATACATATGCATATATACATTATTATACAGTTTTAGGTGTTACTGTACTGAGTACTACAACTTCAGAATCAAGAGATTGTAAAGGTAAGAGTGCTCTATTCATACAGTATTTCACATTACTATAATGTATGATGTCCTTTGGAGGAATTATCTCAAGTAATTTCCATGGAAGTTATTTTAATCAGTTAGATCATAATTCTAATATAATAAGTTGACCTCTTGATTAAATAAAATAAATTCATTCGGCATGTAAATATAGTTTTTGGCCGCGGTGTCATATTTGTAATTTTTCTTTTTAAAAACAGTTTCAAAAATATTGACAGAGCGTATTCAACCTGTTATAACCATTAACTACAATTACGATTTACCAAAACAATTTTCTAAAACGTGAAATAACAGCTAATGTTCAGTGTCTAGCATTACTTTTTTTTTTAAAAATAGCACAACAGGCGTGTTACCTGACTGTTGTGTTCGGGGGGGGGGGGGGATATGAAGGTAGGGTCGGGATCTTGTTGGTTTATTATCTAGATGAACCCGACTCTGTGGTACAGTCTGGTAACGTGACGACGCCCCTGGATTACTGCGGTGACTGCCACTTCCGGTACAGTGAGGGCGCCATGATGTTCTGTGTGGAGGGGCTGGTACCCCCCTACACCATGCACGTCAGGATTGGGACACGCCACATCTTTTCCTACGTTGTGTGTGAGTTATCTTTTCCTACGTTGTGTGTGAGTTATCTTTTCCTACGTTGTGTGTGAGTTATGTTTTCCTACGTTGTGTGTGAGTTATCTTTTCCTACGTTGTGTGTGAGTTATCTTTTCCTACGTTGTGTGTGAGTTATCTTTTCTTACGTTGTGTGTGAGTTATCTTTTCCTACGTTGTGTGTGAGTTATCTTTTCCTACGTTGTGTGTGAGTTATCTTTTCCTACGTTGTGTGTGAGTTATCTTTTCTTACGTTGTGTGTGAGTTATCCTTCCTACGTTGTGTGTGAGTTATCTTTTCCTACGTTGTGTGTGAGTTATCTTTTCCTACGTTGTGTGTGAGCTATCTTTTCCTACGTTGTGTGTGAGTTATCTTTTCCTACGTTGTGTGTGAGTTATCTTTTCCTACGTTGTGTGTGAGTTATCTTTTCCTACGTTGTGTGTGAGTTATCTTTTCTTACGTTGTGTGTGAGTTATCTTTTCCTACCTTGTGTGTGAGTTATCTTTACTTCGTTGTGTGTGAGTTATATTTTCTTACGTTGTGTGTGAGTTATCTTTTCCTAGTTTTATGTGAGTAATCTGCCCTTTGCATGTAGTTATTTTTAAAGCCATTAATCCAAACCACATTAATTTAGCCACACTTACTGGGCATAACGTGTTAGATGCATGAATAGTTTTACTTACACGAGGTGTAGGGGTATTTAGTTATTTACATTATGTGTCTCATTTCAAGCGACATAACTCTTCAGCTATTGTATGTTGTGAGGATTTGGTACCTGACTTTGTCAGCGTATAGTCACCCAACATACACTTATGGCTGTAGCCACATATTGTAGACAATGGCGCTACATATATGTTGATATGTATGTATAAACTGGCCAGTAATATGACGTCACATCATACGTCATCCAGTAAATAATTTGACCCAGAAACTAAAAAAATAAATGTCTACTCCACCAGACAACTGCTCAAAGTTCCAGTTCGAGGAAGACGAAAAGATCCAAGACTTTGTCTACTTTTATTATGAGGAAATGTCGTCGTGTAGGAGGAAGTGGACATTTCGCTGTGCTATATCGTGTACGTATGGGCTATAACGTGTACGTATGGGCTATAACTATAACGTGTACGTATGGGCTATATCGTGTACGTATGGGCTATAACGTGTACGTATGGGCTATAACGTGTACGTATGGGCTATAATGTGTACGTATGGGCTATAACGTGTACGTATGGGCTATAACTATAACGTGTACGTATGGGCTATAACGTGTACGTATGGGCTATAACGTGTACGTATGGGCTATAACGTGTACGTATGGGCTATAATGTGTACGTATGGGCTATAATGTGTACGTATGGGCTATAACTATAACGTGTACGTATGGGCTATAACGTGTACGTATGGGCTATAACGTGTACGTATGGGCTATAATGTGTACGTATGGGCTATAACGTGTACGTATGGGCTATAACTATAACGTGTACGTATGGGCTATAACTATAACGTGTACGTATGGGCTATAACGTGTACGTATGGGCTATAACTATAACGTGTACGTATGGGCTATAATGTGTACGTATGGGCTATAACGTGTACGTATAGGCTACAACGTGTACGTATGGGCTATAACGTGTACGTATGGGCTATAACGTGTACGTATAGGCTACAACGTGTACGTATGGGCTATAACGTGTACGTATGGGCTATAACGTGTACGTATGGGCTACAACGTGTACGTATGGGCTACAACTTGTACGTATGGGCTATAACGTGTACGTATGGGCTATAACTATAACGTGTACGTATGGGCTATAACTATAACGTGTACGTATGGGCTACAACGTGTACGTGTGGGCTATAACGTGTACGTATGGGCTATAACGTGTACGTATGGGCTACAACGTGTACGTATGGGAGCGTGTGGTCGAGTGGTAACGCTTACAGCTGCTAACCCGAGAATCTCGAGTTCGAACATCACGACAAGCATAAACTTTACATGTTGCCCTAATTTGTCAATCTGGTCTGAATGGTATTCTATCTTAATCTGGCATTTCATATCTTAATCTGGCATTTCATATCTTAATCTGGCATTTCATATCTTAATCTGGCATTTGATATCTTAATCTGGCATTTGATATCTTAATCTGGCATTTGATATCTTAATCTGGCATTTCATACCTTAATCTGGCATTTGCTATCTTAATCTGCCATTTCATATCTTAATCTGGCATTTCATATCTTAATCTGGCATTTCATATCTTAATCTGCCATTTCATATCTTAATCTGCCATTTCATATCTTAATCTGCCATTTCATATCTTAATCTGCCATTTCATATCTTAATCTGGCATTTCATATCTTAATCTGGCATTTCATATCTTAATCTGGCATTTCATATCTTAATCTGCCATTTCATATCTTAATCTGCCATTTCATATCTTAATCTGCCATTTCATATCTTAATCTGGCATTTCATATCTTAATCTGCCATTTCATATCTTAATCTGGCATTTCATATCTTAATCTGGCATTTCATATCTTAATCTGCCATTTCATATCTTAATCTGGCATTTCATATCTTAATCTGCCATTTCATATCTTAATCTGGCATTTCATATCTTAATCTGGCATTTCATATCTTAATCTGGCATTTCATATCTTAATCTGGCATTTCATATCTTAATCTGGCATTTCATATCTTAATCTGCCATTTCATATCTTAATCTGGCATTTCATATCTTAATCTGGCATTTCATATCTTAATCTGGCATTTCATATCTTAATCTGGCGTTTCATATCTTAATCTGGCATTTCATATCTTAATCTGGCATTTCATATCTTAATCTGGCATTTCATATCTTAATCTGGCATTTCATATCTTAATCTGGCATTTCATATCTTAATCTGCCATTTCATATCTTAATCTGCCATTTCATATCTTAATCTGGCATTTCATATCTTAATCTGGCATTTCATATCTTAATCTGGCATTTCATATCTTAATCTGGCATTTCATATCTTAATCTGGCATTTCATATCTTAATCTGGCATTTCATATCTTAATCTGGCATTTCATATCTTAATCTGGCATTTCATATCTTAATCTGGCATTTCATATCTTAATCTGGCATTTCATATCTTAATCTGGCATTTCATATCTTAATCTGGCATTTCATATCTTAATCTGGCATTTCATATCTTAATCTGCCATTTCATATCTTAATCTGCCATTTCATATCTTAATCTGGCATTTCATATCTTAATCTGACATTTCATATCTTAATCTGGCATTTGATATCTTAATCTGGCATTTCATATCTTAATCTGGCATTTCATATCTTAATCTGGCATTTCATATCTTAATCTGGCATTTCATATCTTAATCTGGCATTTCATATCTTAATCTGACATTTCATATCTTAATCTGGCATTTCATATCTTAATCTGGCATTTCATATCTTAATCTGGCATTTCATATCTTAATCTGGCATTTCATATCTTAATCTGACATTTCATATCTTAATCTGGCATTTCATATCCTAATCTGGCATTTCATATCTTAATCTGGCATTTCATATCTTAATCTGGCATTTCATATCCTAATCTGGCATTTCATATCTTAATCTGGCATTTCATATCCTAATCTGGCATTTCATATCTTAATCTGGCATTTCATATCTTAATCTGGCATTTCATATCCTAATCTGGCATTTCATATCTTAATCTGGCATTTCATATCTTAATCTGGCATTTGATATCTTAATCTGGCATTTCATATCCTAATCTGGCATTTCATATCTTAATCTGGCATTTCATATCTTAATCTGGCATTTCATATCCTAATCTGGCATTTCATATCTTAATCTGGCATTTCATATCTTAATCTGGCATTTGATATCTTAATCTGGCATTTCATATCTTAATCTGGCATTTCATATCTTAATCTGGCATTTCATATCCTAATCTGGCATTTCATATCTTAATCTGGCATGTAATCACTGTGTGAGTGACATACTTATCTGACATCATGTTTCCCTCAAGCTAAAGTCCTTAACTTTAAGATAACCAGCTGACATCATGTTTCCCTCAAGCTAAAGTCCTTAACTTTAAGATAACCAGCTGACATCATGTTTCCTTCAAGCTAAAGTCCTTAACTTTAAGATAACCAGCTGACATCATGTTTCCCTCAAGCTAAAGTCCTTAACTTTAAGATAACCAGCTGACATCATGTTTCCCTCAAGCTAAAGTCCTTAACTTTAAGATAACCAGCTGACATCATGTTTCCCTCAAGCTAAAGTCCTTATTTTAAGATAACCTGCTGACATCATGTTTCCTTCAAGCTAAAGTCCTTAACTTTAAGATAACCAGCTGACATCATGTTTCCCTCAAGCTAAAGTCCTTATTTTAAGATAACCTGCTGACATCATGTTTCCTTCAAGCTAAAGTCCTTAACTTTAAGATAACCAGCTGACATCATGTTTCCCTCAAGCTAAAGTCCTTAACTTTAAGATAACCAGCTGACATCATGTTTCCTTCAAGCTAAAGTCCTTAACTTTAAGATAACCAGCTGACATCATGTTTCCCTCAAGCTAAAGTCCTTATCTTTAAGATAACCAGCTGACATCATGTTTCCCTCAAGCTAAAGTCCTTAACTTTAAGATAACCAGCTGACATCATGTCTGACAGTCTTACCTGTCCCTGACTTGTCTGTCTAGTTTTGATCTGATCTTGTAATGTAGCTGTACTATTTGTCTATTTATAGACAGGGTTCTAATGTAGCTGTACTATTTGTCTATTTATAGACAGTGTTCTAATGTAGCTGTACTATTTGTCTATTTATAGACCGCGTTCTAATGTAGCCTAACTATTAGGGCTGGTAAGTAGGTCACCAACGAGTTCTATGGCTCATGCAGGTTTTATTGAGCCGTAGAACTGGTTGGTGACCTACTTACCAGCCCTATTGACAGCGTTCTAATGTAGCAGTAGCAAGACAGACTAGTCAGAAATAATTTTTTAATTCATTTGTCGTTAGATTACACTTACACTTTTAAATGTTATATTCTATTAAAGAACATGCACATACATGTGTTTTATATTCGTACAGGTGATATTACATACAAACCTTGACACATCCTGTAAATATATCCTTACAGTTGATGTCTAAATATATCCTTACATTTGATGTCTAAATATATCCTTACAGTTGATGTCTAAATATATCCTTACAGTTGATGTCTAAAATATATCCTTACAGTTGATGTCTAAATTTATCCTAACAGTTGATGTCTAAATATATCCTTACAGTTGATGTCTAAATATATCGTTACAGTTGATGTCTAAATATATCCTTACAGTTGATGTCTAAATATATCCTTACAGTTGATGTCTAAATATATCCTTACAGTTGATGTCTAAATATATCCTTACATTTGATGTCTAAATATATCCTTACAGTTGATGTCTAAAATATATCCTTACAGTTGATGTCTAAATATATCCTAACAGTTGATGTCTAAATATATCCTTACAGTTGATGTCTTAATATATCCTTACAGTTGATGTCTAAAATATATCCTTACAGTTGATGTCTAAAATATATCCTTACAGTTGATGTCTAAATATATCCTAACAGTTGATGTCTAAATATATCCTTACAGTTGATGTCTAAATATATCGTTACAGTTGATGTCTAAATATATCCTTACAGTTGATGTCTAAATATATCGTTACAGTTGATGTCTAAATATATCCTTACAGTTGATGTCTAAATATATCCTTACAGTTGATGTCTAAATATATCCTTACAGTTGATGTCTAAATATATCCTTACAGTTGATGTCTAAATATATCCTTACAGTTGATGTCTACCTTTCTTACCAAAGCCGCACCCCACGGGTCAAGCCACAACATGTGATGTTAGCTGTGACCGTTCTACTGACGTGGTCCAAGTCACTCAGATAACCCAGGCCCACAAAACTTAGATAACCCAGGCCCACAAAACTTAGATAACCCAGGCCCACAAAACTCAGATAACCCAGGCCCACAAAACTCAGATAACCCAGGACCACAAAACTTAGATAACCCAGGCCCACAAAACTTACCTCAGATAACCCAGGCCCACAAAACTTAGATAACCCAGGCCCACAAAACTTTGATAACCCAGGCCCACAAAACTTACCTCAGATAACCCAGGCCCACAAAACTCAGATAACCCAAGCCCACAAAACTTAGATAACCCAGGCCCACAAAACTTACCTCAGATAACCCAGGCCCACAAAACGTAGATAACCCAAGCCCACAAAACTTACCTAAGATAACCCAGGCCCACAAAACTTACCTAAGATAACCCAGGCCCACAAAACTTAGCTCAGATAACACAGGACCACAAAACTTAGCTCAGATAACCCAGGCCCACAAAACTTAGCTCAGATAACCCAGGCCCACAAAACTTAGCTCAGATAACCCAGGCCCACAAAACTTAGCTCAGATAACCCAGGCCCACAAAACTTACCTCAGATAACCCAGGCCCACAAAACTTAGCTCAGATAACCCAGGCCCACAAAACTTAGCTCAGATAACCCAGGCCCACAAAAATTTAACTGATATTAAAAGAGCAAAACATGTAATACAATGGAATATTTGAATAAAACACTAATACAACAAGATGTTTGGCCACTTTTTATTTTGTTGTTTCCCGTTTCAGCCGCCATCTTGTTTGTTTATTTTTGCTCAGACTTTGGTGGGGAGTGATGGCTTCTTTCTTTGTGTGACAAGTTCATTTGTAGCTTGAATCAAAATTACCATACACCTTTTATTTTTGTTTTATAATACGAAATGTCCATGCCTATAATACACATTTGTCGAAATCGTTTTGAACTTAAGTAGAGACTAATTAAAAGGTAAAATTATTGTTCATATACAATTCTAATGATATAGTCCTATACAAGATATCTCATTTAATATAGAAAGGTATACAGACATTATATATATATATATAGATATAGATATAGATAGATATATATATAGCCCCTATATATAATATACTAATTAAAATAATACTAAAATATTAAGTTGACAAAATATTAGCCAAGGGCAAACAACACTGAACAGCAACTGATCACAAGCCACTGACAAAAGTCTGGACATTGGGGGTTTTCTTCAACCAGCGCTACAACATCACTCAACAAATTAAACGCCCTCGCCCCCACGATTGGAACATCCACGTGTGGCCCTCACGACTCCGCCCCCACATCAATCAAATTCCAATCACGACGTCACGTGTACTGACGTCTCAGCAGACGAGACTTACACGCTTGGGTAAACAAACGCCGTGCGGTGAAACTGAAGCGGCCGCTGGACGCAATTGATTCTGGCGGCCATATTGAAGAGAGCATTTCCGGTAGCCAGACAGCGACAATCGGCCCCCATCTCCCCCCCCCATCTTCCCCCATCCTTCCCCCATCTCCTGCTGAAATGAGCAAATGAAGGGGACACTAGCGCGAAAAATTCCTCCCAATATTGCGACCTTTGAACTAGCCCTTCCAGTCCATGAGGTATTTCTTGAGAGGGAGGGAACTCGAGTTAGCCAAACATGTCGTGGTTATTTCACGATTGTGCCCCCTGCTTGAATATTCATAGAACCAGATAGGATTGGAAATGGAATGATTTTTATTTTACTGGGTGACTTCGGGTCAGCACTCTTTAATGGACAATTGTGGTTGGAATTAATTAAATCTTCTAAAGCCCGTGGTGGCTACGTTATGTGGGCCATGTTATGTTGGCCATGTGATATGGGCCATGTATGTTGGCCATGTGATATGGGCCATGGCATGTTGGCCATGTGATATGGGCCATGCATGTTGGCCATGTGATATGGGCCATGGCATGTTGGCCATGGTATGTTGGCCATGTGATATGGGCCATGGCATGTTGGCCATGTGATATGGGCCATGGTATGTTGGCCATGTGATATGGGCCATGTTATGTTGGCCATGTGATATGGGCCATGTATGTTGGCCATGTATGTTGGCCATGTATGTTGGCCATGTATGTTGGCCATGTGATATGGGCCATGTATGTTGGCCATGTTATGTTGGCCATGTGATATGGGCCATGTATGATGGCCATGTATGTCGGTCTTAACGTGTTGGCCCCCTTGACTGATGACCGACCCATGACTGTGATTGAGACGGTCAACACAAGTTGATGTTGTTAGCCACGAATTGCCGGGTGGTAATCCGCCGTCAACATTAGTCGACTAAACCAAATACCCAGTGGCGTCACTAGTGTCATCCCCCTAAATGGTGTCACCCGGTGCGTTCAGCACCCCCCCCCCCCGTTCTCCCCGCCTCTGCAAATACCACCACATTAAATCAAATACCACTCACATTTCACATTAATCCGAGTAATAACTACTACCAGCATTATAACATTTAACCACATACCACCACCAATAATCCACTAAATATCCAAATACCACCAGCATTATTCCACTACTTAACCAAATACCACCAGCATTATTCCACTACCTAACCAAATACCACCAGCTTTACATTGCACGCCGCCCTGTAGATTTACACCAAGCCCCTCTACATGGTCTAACCAGCTTCACCGTCCTAATGTGTTTTACAGGGGATTTAATCGCTGGGTACGGCTAACCCTTTTGTCAGCTCTGATATTCTAGGTTGTTCGATATTATGTTAATAAAATATCTCTTGCCGTTTGTTCATGGACGACGTCACTTGTTACCCCTGCTCTGATTGGTCAGTTGAGTCGCTAGGCGACGTCTGATTGGGCGACACGTTTGATGACAGCAGACGATGTGGAGATGGGGCCGACACACGGACCGCTTTCATTGGGCCATTTTAACCGACCTCGTTGTTGGGCCATTGTGGAGTGACGGGCCATGATGAAAGGCGGGCCAGCGGCGACTGATGTATGACAAGACAGGACCAACATCCAACAAGCCGTTAGCTCACCCGTGTGTGAACGGGTTTTGTTCCCGCGACCGTCGAGGAACATTGAAATCGTTTCGTTGTTTAATGTGTGGGTTTAATGTGTGGGTTTATCCAGTGGGGGGCTGTGGTCAGGACACACAACTCTTGTTTGCTCATGAAATAACTTTAGGATTATCGGACCTGCATAGTGGAAGCTTGTGGCTTTCGTATGTTCTCTTTCATTATTTAATTAATTAACTAAGTAATTAATTAATGTGTGTGCTCCGTGGAGAGAAAATACAAAAAGAAATCGCAATTTTTTATACGACTATATATATATATATATATATATATATATATATATATATATATATATATATATATATATATATATATATATATATATATATATATATATATATATATATATATATATACATATATATATATATATACATATATATATATATATATATATATATATATATATATATATATATATATATATATATATATATGTATGTATGTATGTATGTATGTATGTATATATATATATATAGTTCAATGTATTTTCCGGAAGTGTAAACAGTTTTTACTTTTTAATTTACTGATGTCTCTATCGTCAGGTTAGCTTATTGTTGAGATTAGAGTATCGTATTCGTTGTGTTCTGGCTGCAGTATTCTGAAACAAGTTTGGATTAGGATTAAAGATTAGACCATTTTCATCCTATTCATTCGGTTTATGAGTGGTGTTGGCTGAATTTTGGACCAGATAGACAGAAGCTCTACAGCTGATGTTGACTGGACAAGACACATGTCTCAGTGAGGTCAGGAGAAAATGAACATTTTGTGGACGTTGAAAACGTTACAACGACTTTGTTCACGTTCATCTAACGCTACTAGCTAGTTAGCGGTTGTTAAAAGAAACTGGACGTAACTAGCTAGTAGTGATGTCAGTTGTAAGTTGCTTGTTGTGTTGGTAAGGCATACGGCCACACACAAGTAGATCACCAACGATGGAGACGTTTGATGGAAAAACCACCAGCTCGGGTGAGTTTTTTTTCTAAATTGTAATCAACTACCTGACGTCTGATGCACATCAATGTTAGTTTATTATAACATTTTTTTTTACAATCACAAGACATTGAACATTTGTTAATCGAACCTGTTTTCTTAAGGATAAAGAAGACGAAAATCTGTTAAATATTATACAACAGACTTTACCATATGTATTTTAAAAAATCCTAAATTATTTTTAAAAGTATGTACATACACACCTATTAAAATAGACCATCACACCTAAGATATAAAGCCGCAGCTGTATAACAGCAATGATAAAACAAAAAATTCTACCAGACAAAACTTGACAGATGAAACTTGACAGGCAAAACTTGACATATGAAACTTTACAGACAAAACTTGACAGATGAAACTTACGACGGATGAAACTTAATATAGACAAAACTTGACATATGAAACTTGACAGACAAAACTTGACAGATGAAACTTACGACGGATGAAACTTAATATAGACAAAACTTGACATATGAAACTTGACAGACAAAACTTGACAGATGAAACTTACGACGGATGAAACTTAATATAGACAAAACTTGACAGATGAAACTTACGACAGACAAAACTTGCGACAGACAAAACTTGACAGATGAAACTTACGACAGACAAAACTTGCGACAGACAAAACTTGACAGATGAAACTTACTATACACAAAATTTGACAGATGAAACTTGACAGACAAAACTTGACAGATGAAACTTACGACAGACAAAACTTGACAGATGACAGCTGAAACTTACGATTACTTTCGGCTCTAAAACCCTAAATTTTCACATTAAATTTTCACATTCTAAGAAAAAAATGTGGATTTAAAAAATATTTTACACTTAAAAATATTAAAAGCCGTATTTAAAATATTTTAGAAATTGGAGATTGAACACAACTTTGAAGCCAGAAACATCTTCCGTGTACACCCGAATTTCCAGAAACATCTTCCGTGTACACCCACATTTCCATAAAACACCGTACAAATATGCGGGAGTTGTATGAAGATCATTTCCCTGATATTTCTCACCTGGGCCCGTCATGTGCCCCATTTACCTGCCCGTCATGTGCCCCATTTACCTGCCCGTCATGTGCCCCATTTACCTGCCCGTCATGTGCCCCATTTACCTGCCCGTCATGTGCCCCATTTACCTGCTCATTGTTAGGCCGCTCACACCGTGAATGGAACACTCCAGAACGCCCAGGTGTAACGACGTCATCATTCTAGCTGTCGTCGTCTCTCTCAGCCACAGGTGATGGTCATTACATGCTGGCCAGGTATTCGATCATTGGCCTGCCTGTTTGGCCAGGTACACGATCGTTCTCCTGCCTGTTTGGCCAGGTACATTGGCCTGCCTGTTTGGCCAGGTACACGATCATTCTCCTGCCTGTTTGGTCAGGTATAAACTGGCTACCCTGATACGGTTAATGGGGCGTGGCGACATTTTTGTCGTGAGCGTGATAAATGTCGTTAAATTCTTTTCAATGTCCGCACGGCGAAATAAAATGCCACCGATTTGTTTGAAGGATATCAAACATGGAAATACCACAAGTAGCTGAACATGTTCACGGACATTTTTAAAATTCCAAAATTTTAACAATTATCCTGGATATTGCTGTAAGACAGACACTGTAAGACCCCATGTCCCACCCCTCAGTCAGGGATCGAATCCCGACTACACACAGGACAGCCCACAGGACATCACATTGCTCTAATGAACTGTAAGTCTATGATTATATTTACTTCCCTCCTGGCTCTAATTAATTACACCCAGCAGTAGACTAATTAGACCGGATGTGGCCAGCTTGGATTTTGAGCTGGGTATGTAGGAATGGTAAAAAAAAAAACAACAATTTAAAAAATTAAAACTTTTAATTGAAGTATTGTAGTAACGTTTTTCCTGGATCCAAAGGGATTTATTTCCCTGGGGCCACCGGGATTTATTTCCTGGGGCCACCGTGATTTATTTCCTGGGGCCACCGGGATTTATTTCCTGGGGCCACCGGGATTTATTTCCTGGGGGCCACCGGTAGACTTTCTGACCGGTCCACCCTTAATTACCTCCCATGGGTATATTAATTGGTTCTTATGATTATGATAATTAAGTCTGTGATTATAATTATCTGTAATCATAATTCGTCTGGTTATAGTTAGTTCATGTGTGGAGTTGGTTAGTGTTATTAAAAGTGATGTCCACAGTATCCCTTTATTTGCCGAGGTCTTTGAAGCAGTTAACTCTACTTCATCTGTTCTATGTATCTGAAGCAGATAACTCTACTTCATCTCTTCTATGTATCTGAAGCAGATAACTCTACTTCATCTGTTCTATGTATCTGAAGCAGATAACTCTACTTCATCTCTTCTATGTATCTGAAGCAGATAACTCTACTTCATCTGTTCTACGTATCTGAAGCAGATAACTCTACTTCATCTGTTCTACGTATCTGAAGCAGATAACTCTACTTCATCTGTTCTACGTATCTGAAGCAGATAACTCTACTTCATCTGTTCTATGTATCTGAAGCAGATAACTCTACTTCATCTGTTCTATGTATCTGAAGCAGATAACTCTACTTCATCTGTTCTATGTATTTTGGGCACGGACGGGAAATCATGCTTGTGGATGCAAGGATTATCTGTTAATGAATTATCTTTCCGAAATATTTCGCAGATATTTTTTTTTTTTTGTATTTCAGCTTCATCCACTACAACAGAGAGAAAGGGTTCGAAACCTCATTCGACCCCCCTCACATTGAAATGGTAACATTTTGAACGATTTGACTGAATGCCAACGGACGGTAACATTTTGAATAATTTGGTTGATTTCCAATGGACAATCTGGAGTTGATGATGACCAACTTGACCTTTGTGTTCACATGTGATTGTGATTGTGGTTGGTTGAATTGAAATGATTGATTGAATGATTGACATGATTGAAATGTTTGACTCCTTAAATTGAATGCTGCTAATTAGAATGACAATAGGGATTTATCTTTCTTCGGTAAATAAGATGTTTTTTTTTTACACTTGGTGTCATAGTTTCAACAGATAATATGTTTTTTGTCTGACTTTCCTCTTGACTTGCTGTATATGACTGAAGCGATGCCTTGACTTAATGAGGTCATGACTGGTTCATATGACTTTCCACCATATTTGCTTGACTTTTATTTCTTCCGTTTTCAAAGTCAGTAAAAAAAATAGTTCAAGGTCTTTGATTTTGGGATTTTATATTTTCCTAATAATAACTGTGTTATATTATGTAGTAATGTAACTGTTTTTAAACAGTGATAAAAACTATTCAATATTTGTTATGTTGTAAAAATAACACGTAGTAAATTGGGAGTTAATTAAAATGACGATATGGGTAGTGTAGACCGTCAAGTGGTCAACTTCAATAGACCTTCTGTCAGATTTATAAACACTTCGTCCTTGAAACCAGTTTATAAACCGACTTAAAGTCAAGTATAATCTCGGAGTCTGATATATGTGTTAAGCGACTCAATAAGTCAGCATATGACTCTAGCCCTTACTGACATGACTGACGCCTGACTTGAGTGCTGTAGAGTCAGCTTATGACTGTACACTTGACTGACGCCTGACTTGAGTGCTGTAAAGTCAACTTTGACTGTACACATGACTGACGCCTGACTTGAGTGCTGTAAAGTCAGCTTATGACTGTACACTTGACTGACGCCAGACTTGAGTGCTGTAAAGTCAGCTTATGACTGTAGAGATGACTGACGCCTGACTTGAGTGCTGTAAAGTCAGCTTATGACTGTAGAGATGACTGACGCCTGACTTGAGTGCTGTAAAGTCAGCTTATGACTGTACACTTGACTGACGCCTGACTTGAGAGCTGTAAAGTCAGCTTATGACTGTATACTTGACTGACGCCAGACTTGAGTGCTGTAAAGTCAACTTATGACTGTACACTTGACTGACGCCAGACTTGAGTGAAGTCAGCTTATGACTGTACACTTGACTGACGCCTGACTTGAGTGCTGTAGAGTCAACTTATGACCTTACACTTGACTGACGCCTGACTTGAGTCCTGTAAAGTCAGCTTATGACTGTACACTTGACTGACGCATGTTCCCAGGCTCCAGGAGAACTATGAAATAGCTGAGGGGGTCTGTATCCCCCGGTCCACCCTCTACCAACACTACCTCAACTTCTGCCGGACCAACGACACAAACCCTGTCAACGCCGCGAGCTTCGGTAAGGTGAGTACAGCACCTGCTTCAGTGTGGGCACGTGAGTACATGTTAGCCGGCACATGCTTCAGTGTGGGCACGTGAGTACATTACAGCCGGCACATGCATCAACATGGTGAGTACATGACAGCCGGCACCTGCTTCAGTGTGGGCACGTGAGTACATTACAGCCGGCACCTGCTTCAGTGTGGGCACGTGAGTACATTACAGCCGGCAACTGCTTCAGTGTGGGCACGTGAGTACATTACAGCCGGCACCTGATTCAGTGTGGGCACGTGAGTACATTACAGCCGGCACCTGATTCAGTGTGGGCACGTGAGTACATTACAGCCGGCACCTGATTCAGTGTGGGCACGTGAGTACATTACAGCCGGCACCTGATTCAGTGTGGGCACGTGAGTACATTACAGCCGGCACCTGCACCTGCGTATAGCCAGGTTAGGCCACTAGGTCTACATTGTTCTACTCATCTGATTGTGTTCACTGTCCTGAAATCTCGCTAGAGATTGACAGAATGTTATCGGTTCATTTCTTCAATACACCGGTGTTGGTTTAAGTTTCTTTAACCCGTCTCAAAAATTTGAAAAAAAAATTATATTTTAAAATACAAGAGAGCTTAGCCTACAATGTGCATTAGTTGTTGTTAGCGTGTGTGACGAATATGTTAGGTGTCCTTTACTAGATAACTGTTTAAGTCTAAAGCCAAAACAAAAACGTCTACACAGATTTTAATCTATTTTGTTTTAAACCCAAAAAAAATTTCAGTCGATGTAGAGCCACTCGTTGCTGGCAATGTTTATCCAAATAGTCTATCGGTGGTTACAACCTTGATACATTATGTTAACAATATCTATTGTACACACATTTCTCCAGATAATCAGACAGCAGTTTCCTCAGATAACGACTCGACGTCTGGGTACTAGAGGGCAGTCCAAGTAAGCTTCATTAATTACCCTAATTAAAAACATTAATTAAATACCTTAATTAAATACCTTAATTAAAAGCCTTAATTAAATACCTTAATTAAAAGCCTTAAATAAAAACATGAATTAATTACCTTAATTAAAAGCCTTAATTAAATACCTTAATTAAAAGCCTTAATTAAATACCTTAATTAAAAGCCTTAATTAAATACCTTAATTAAAAGCCCTTATTAAATAAATACCTTAATTAAAAGCCTTAATTAAATACCTTAATTAAAAGCCTTAATTAAATACCTTAATTAAAAGCCCTTATTAAATAAATACCTTAATTAAATACCTTAATTAAAAGCCTTAATTAAATACCTTAATTAAAAGCCCTTATTAAATAAATACCTTAATTAAATACCTTAATTAAAAGCCTTAATTAAATACCTTAATTAAAAGCCTTAATTAAATACCTTAATTAAAAGCCTTAATTAAATACCTTAATAAAATGCTAGATTTCTGGCACTCACATACATAGTGAGACCAAATATGATTTTACAAGTTTTTGGCATTCGAAAATAATTGTTTTTCTACAGCTGTTAGACATAGTTAAAGGTGTAAATAAATTGTTTATATTACCAAAATATGTACCAAAATTGTCTAGCTAAAGCTACAGCTGTTAATGACCCAAAATTGTCTCGCTAAAGCTACAGCTATAAATGACCCAAAATTGTCCAGCTAAAGCTAATGTTATTAATGACACAAAAATGTGTTGATTAAGCTACAGCTATGAATGACCCAAAATTGTCCAGCTAAAGCTACAGCTATGACTATTGCTGCAGGTATCACTACTATGGAATTGGCGTGAGAGAAACGTCACATTTCTTTGATGAAGTTTTTTCTACACGGACTGAACACACGTGAGTACTTGACGTTGTTGGTCAGTTCGTTTGTCTAGGGGAGTCTGTCCTGTGTTTGGTGCACTGTGTTGGTGCACTCTCCTGTGTTGGTGCACTCTCCTGTGTTGGTGCACTGTGTTGGTACACTCTCCTGTGTTGGTGCACTGTGTTGGTGCACTGTGTTGGTGCACTGTGTTGGTACACTCTCCTGTGTTGGTGCACTCTCCTGTGTTGGTGCACTGTGTTGGTACACTCTCCTGTGTTGGTGCACTCTCCTGTGTTGGTGCACTGTGTTGGTGCACTCTCCTGTGTTGGTGCACTCTCCTGTGTTTTGTGAACTCTGTTAGTGCACCCTTCAATTTGTTAGTGCACTCTGATTGTGCGATAAATTTTTTTCTGTCATTTATGTTTTTCTAGCTACACTTAACACAGTTTTTAAAAGGTAGTACTTGAACATTGATGTAACTTGTACAGCTTCAAGTCTAACAACCTTTAGCAAAACATACTGTGAAAGATGCGTACACTTTAAACTGTACACAACTTGACTGTGTTTAATGTTCAACTATTGCAACTATTAAGACAAAATCTAACATAAAGTGGACTTTGCGGTACCAAATTATTTTCTCATAGTGTCACTGAGGGTACACGTGACCCAAGATGGCTGCATGTCTCAGCATCGACGTCACAATCTAAACACGTCATCTCGCTTCCTGAGTTCCCTGACGTCACACAGCTCACCCTCCCCGAGTGTATCGAGGTCAAGAAGGTCAGAACGGTTTCTTAAGTCACATCGTCTTAGTTCGGGTGCTTGTTGTTTTTTTAGCGGTGTTAGACCTAGTCACTGACACGACAAAATCACGTGACTACCCAACACTGACACGACAAAATCACGTGACTGCTGACATACACCTCTGCTATGATATTGACCAGTCAGCAATGTTTCGTATCAATTGTTTACATTGGTAAAAACTTTTGCTCTAACACAAATAAAATAATTATCATTAAAAAAGTTTTAAAAAACCCACGTTTTCTGATTGAACTAAAAAGTAGAAAATAAATGCTATACATCACAATAATGCAAGCGATCAACAGTTGATGACGTCACACGTGCTCACGTTAAACTCTTTCATCAGGTGACGTCGTTTCTCATCATGTACCACGCCCACTGTCAACGTCTGCTAGACAACATCGTCAGGGGAAACTTTGAGCAGGTCAGTGAGACAGGACAGATGTGTGTAGGGGGGGATTGATATGTGTGGGGGACAGGACAAATATGTGTGGGGGACAGATGTGTGTGGGGGACAGATGTGTGTGGGGGACAGATGTGTGTGGGGGACAGATGTGTGTAGGGGACAGGACAATTGTGTGTGGGGTCGGGACAAATGTTTGTGGGGGACAGGACAAATATGTGTGGGGGACATACGTGTGTGTGGGGGACAGATGTGTGGGGGGGGACAGATGTGTAGGGGATATGACAGATGTGTGTGGGGGACAGGACAGATGTGTGTGGGGGACAAATGTGTGTGGGAGACAGATGTGTGTGGGGGACATACGTGTGTGCGGGGGACAGATGTGTGGGGAACAGATGTATGGGATCAGATGTGTGTGGGGGACAGATGTGTGTGGGGGACAGATGTGTGTGGGGGACAGATGTGTGGGGGACAGATGTGTGTGGGAGACAGGACAGTTGTGTGTGGGAGACAGGACAGTTGTGTGTGGGGGACAGATGTGTGTGGGAGACAGGACAGTTATGTGTGGGAGACAGGACAGTTGTGTGTGGGGGACAGAACAAATGTTTGTGGAAGAGAGACGTGTGTGGGGGACAGATGTGTGGTGGACAGATGTGTGGGGGATAGGACAGATGTGTGGGGGACAGATGCGTGGGGGACAGATGTGTGTGGGAGACAGGACAGTTGTGTGTGGGGGACAGATGTGTGGGGGGGACAGATGTGTGGGGGACAGATGTCTGTGGGACAGATGTGTGGGGGACAGATGTGTGTGGGCGACAGGACAGTTGTGTGTGGGGGACAGATGTGTGTGGGGGAATAACGTGTGTGGGGGACAGTCGTGTGGGGGGGGGGGGGGGGGCAGATGTGTGTGAGGGACAAGACAGAAGTGTGTGGGGGACATATGTGTGGGGAACAGGACAGATGTGTGTGGGGCGACAGGACAGATGTGTGTGGGGCGACAGGACAGATGTGTGTGGGGACTGATGTGTGGTAGACAGATGTGTGTGGGGGACAGATGTGTGTGGAGCGACAGGACAGATGTGTGTGGGGGACAGGACAGATGTGTGTGGGGGCAGGACAGATGTGTGGGGGGGACAGGACAGACGTGTGTGGGGGCAGGACAGATGTGTGTGTGTGGGGGGGGAGGTGGACAAGACAGATATGTGTGTGGGGGGGGACAGACATGTGTGGGGGACAGGACAGATGGCGTGGGGGGACAGGACAGATGTGTGTGTGTGGGAGGGGGGGGGAACAAGACGGATGTGTGGGGGGGGGGGGAACACAAAATTAATGTATTAACCAATTTATCGCTTTCTGACTTGATCCCAAAATATGAAGTAAAAAAATATGACAGAAACTTGCGCACGTTATGCCGCAAATATTGCTTCTGACAAGTTTTCCTAAATGAATAAATTATGAATAAAAGCTTAAATTAATGAGTTTCGATGACGTCATCTGATGCAGGTCCACAGCCTTCTGCTTCACTTCTGGCAAGGCATGCCAGGTCACGTGGTGGCCATTCTAGGACATGACGTCATCGTTAAGCTGATTGGTGTCTGTGACGTCATCTTGTACAGGACGCTGTCCGACGTGTTTCTGCCGTCCGTCATGCCGTCCGTCATGCAGACTTTGTCGAACGGGTAAGTTTGACTGTAGCCTGACCTTGAACTTTTAGCGGTCATTGATACATCTTTTGACCTTAGACACGATGGATGACCTCAGGTATATTGACTGACTTTGACCATCGTGTTTGACCTTGGGAAGTTTTCTTGACCCTCGATATACTTCTGACCTTGGTCACCTTGTTCAACCTTGGCCTTAGTTATTGACCTTTAACCCACAGGTTGACCCAGGCGATCCGCAGGTTCACGAGACAGCTGGAGGCGTGGCTGAGGTCAGTGACCTCTGGTCTACCTGCTGGTCTACAGGCTGTCAAGTTAGAGCGTGAGTAGACAGGAAGTGACGTGTGTGATTGTTGATTGTGGCATCTTGTAGAGTGTGAATAGACAGGAAGTGCCGTGTGTGGCTCGTGGCATCTTGTAGATCGTGAGTGGATCTGAGGAGCCGTGTGTGTCACGGTCCATTAATTCGGTGTTTGATGGTTAATTGTGTACACCAGCTGCTAAGTATTTACATCAGCGTCATGGTTAGTTGATTAGATATGTAGATGTACATATAATGTTGAGTGGTTTTTTGATTCCGCTGATTGCATGAACTGGGGGCAGATAGAGGGTATGTTGTGATGTGATGTGCATGGACTGAGGGCAGATAGAGGGTATGTTGTGATGTGATGTGCATGGACTGAGGGCAGATAGAGGGTATGTTGTGATGTGATGTGTATGAACTGGGGGCAGATAGAGGGTATGTTGTGATGTGATGTGTATGAACTGGGGGCAGATAGAGGGTATGTTGTGATGTGATGTGTATGAACTGGGGGCAGATAGAGGGTATGTTGTGATGTGATGTGTATGAACTGGGGGCAGATAGAGGGTATGTTGTGATGTGATGTGTATGAAATGTGTGTATGTAGGACGAATCACTGCAGGGGTGATGTGTACACGGGTGTGTTGACGTGTATGTTGTATGTGTACACGGTAGTATTGCGTTAGGCCGGGTGTGTTGACGTGTATGTTGTTGTATGAAGTGAACAAAGGAAGCGACTGGTCGAGTGACAGCGGGTGTGTTGTGGGCGGGAGATGGTGTGTAGGGATGGATGGGGATGGCAGTTGGAGGTGAAGGTGGGAAGTGGGAGGTAGCTTGGTTGTGTTTAGGAGCAGATAAACAGATACAACAGAATGTAGCCTCAGCTGATGTATGTCGGTGTGTCCCTCGCACGAACGTTCCAAACGTCTACTTGAGAATATATTTCTTGTTTCCATGGAAACAGTAGCCAGAGCGTTCTGTCAGATTTTGAAGCGTCAGACGTCACTGAACCATCTGATCCAGGCGTCACGTGGCGTCATCGACTCCTCTGACGCAGCGAGTCAGCTGCTCTCTGATTGGATGAAGGTGGATCACGTGAGCATCTTGAAGCAGACGTTGTACACGGTGGAGCGATCCACCGAGATGGACCACACGCTCCTCCACCAGAGTAAGTTGGCCCTCACACCTCACACACTCCCACACCAGAGTATGTTGGCCTTCAAATACATCCAGAGGCGTCGCAAGGCGGGGGTGCAGACCGCACCGGATCACAACATTTAGGGGGGGGGGGGTGACACCAAGATAAAAAAATTGAAATTATATAATAGAAAAATGCTTTTCGTTAGTTTGATTAATGATTAATCAGAGTTAAAAAGTCTTTTAAATAAAAAATTCCGATATGGGGGAGGGGGTGACTACTGGACGTAAACCTGCCAATTATAGAGAAAACAATTTTACATATAGCTGGATTACATACAATATATGTATATATATATATATATATATATATATATATATATATATATATATATATATATATATATATATATATATATATATATATATATATATATATATATATATATATGTTTTCTTACATCTGTTTCAGTGTGTAATGTGCTTACATCTGTTTCAGTGTGTAACGAGTTTGAAAAGCTGTTGGAACAACACGCCCCTATTGAGACCTACATGTGTTGGCTGGATCACGTGGTACAGACTTGCGTTGTTAAGGTAAACAAAATGGCGTCTGTAGCTACGTAAGGCTTGGCTGACTAAAAACAATTAACTTTTCCAAACTCTGCTTAATTAAAAACAATTAACGTATCTAGCTTTTAATACGAATTAAAGTAAGCACATGACTATATCACACTGTAATGAGATGTAATTTGATGCTTACATCCCAGTTCTGTAGCACGACCCCCGGCTTGTCACCTCGTGTGCCCACCCCCGGGCCGCTACACCGTGTCTGCAGACAGTTCCTGCTGGTGTGGTCCTGCTTCGGCTCGCGGGTCCTGAGGGACATGACGCTACAAGGTGCACCGAGTTTTGGTGAGTCAAATGGTGCACCGAGTTTTGGTGAGTCAAAGGGTGCACCGAGTTTTGGTGAGTCAAAGGGTGCACCGAGTTTTGGTGAGTCAAAGGGTGCACCGAGTTTTGGTGAGTCAAAGGGTGCACAAAGTTTTGGTGAGTCAAAGGGTGCACAAAGTTTTGGTGAGTCAAAGGGTGCACAAAGTTTTGGTGAGTCAAAGGGTGCACCGAGTTTTGGTGAGTCAAAGGGTGCACCGAGTTTTGGTGAGTCAAAGGGTGCACCGAGTTTTGGTGAGTCAAAGGGTGCACAAAGTTTTGGTGAGTCAAAGGGTGCACAAAGTTTTGGTGAGTCAAAGGGTGCACAAAGTTTTGGTGAGTCAAAGGGTGCACCGAGTTTTGGTGAGTCAAAGGTTGCACCGAGTTTTGGTGAGTCGGGGTCAAAGGGTGCATTTAATGGTTCACAGATATTTTAACTGTATCCCACAGGATCCTTCCACCTCCTCCACCTAACATTTACCTGTATCCCACAGGATCCTTCCACCTCCTCCACCTAAAATTTACCTGTATCCCACAGGATCCTTCCACCTCCTCCACCTAAAATTTACCTGTATCCCACAGGATCCTTCCACCTCCTCCACCCAACATTTACCTGTATCCCACAGGATCATTCCACCAGCTCCACCTAAAATTTACCTGTATCCCACAGGATCCTTCCACCTCCTCCACCTAAAATTTACCTGTATCCCACAGGATCCTTCCACCTCCTCCACCTAAAATTTACCTGTATCCCACAGGATCCTTCCACCTCCTCCACCCAACATTTACCTGTATCCCACAGGATCATTCCACCAGCTCCACCTAAAATTTACCTGTATCCCACAGGATCCTTCCACCTCCTCCACCTAAAATTTACCTGTATCCCACAGGATCATTCCACCAGCTCCACCTAAAATTTACCTGTATCCCACAGGATCATTCCACCAGCTCCACCTAAAATTTACCTGTATCCCACAGGATCCTTCCACCTGCTCCACCTAAAATTTACCTGTATCCTACAGGATCCTTCCACTTGCTCCACCTAAAATTTACCTGTATCCCACAGGATCCTTCCACCTGCTCCACCTAACATTTACCTGTATCCCACAGGATCCTTCCACCTGCTCCACCTAACATTTACCTGTATCCCACAGGATCCTTCCACCTGCTCCACCTAACATTTACCTGTATCCCACAGGATCCTTCCACCTGCTCCACCTAACATTTAACGACTACATCCACTACCGCATTGAACTGCTCCACCTGACAGAAAAATCAAACGAGTTTCTGCGTGCTATTCAAGGGGAGGTAACTCAAGGTGAGTTAACAATTTTTAAAATTTCCCCGGTTACCGCCCTTAGCTATGACCGCTTCGTTCTCCTACTTGGACTAGCTACAGGTCAGACGTTCCCTGAAGATAAAGAATTCACTTGTCTATTTATGGCATATCGAAGTCATGTTGCTACAAGATAAGGCGCGATCGTGGGAAGATGACAATACGGAAATGTTTTTCGTGTGGGCGTTGTTTTGGTGTGTGTGTGTGTTTGAAAGGGTGTGTGTGTGTGTGGTTGAAGGGTTGTGTGTGTGTGTGTGTGTGGTTGAAGGGTTGTGTGTGTGTGTGAATGTTTGTAAGTAATTTCGTATAAAAGTGTAGTGGTGTATTTATAATGTCTGTGGTGTCTTTTAGTATATGTGTATCTATTTGTGTGTGTCGCTATTAATTTATCTTTGTCCAGAACTTATATTCATATATTAATATATATATATATATATATATATATATAGGCCTATATATATATATATATATATATATATATATATATATATATATACCTGTATGTCCATATAAGTACTGTACACTGTTTAATAGTTAAGCTTTTTAAAGGTTACATCTGTATATACATATGAATCATTACAGACATAAGTTTATAAAGCGAATTTATTTTTAGCCAATAATAGTGTCTTCAAGTGCATTAGAAAAGAGACAGTAAGCACCTACTTACCTAGGATAGGATGAAGTAGAACGAAGATAAGCGTAGGTCACTGCTTATGATTTGAAACAGTTCTGTCCTAGAGGACAGTTTTTGAGTCGAGCAAAAATTTGTTGTTGTTTTTTTGCTTTATTCCCCACAAATTAATTTTATTAATGGCGCTAGAACAAACTAACCAGTGTACGTGAGTAGTTCTAGTGCATGCACCCCATTCACTCATCTCTACACACGTGTAACCGTTCACAGTCAACACCTGACTGACTGGCTGACTGACTGACTGACTGACTGACTGACTGACTGACTGACTGACTGACTGACTTACCGACTGACTGACTGACTGACTGGCTGGCTGGCTGGCTGGCTGGCTGGCTGGCTGACTGACTGACTGACTGACTGACAGACTGACTGACTGACTGACTGACTGACTGACTGACTTACTGACTTACCGACTGACTGACTGACTGACTGGCTGGCTGGCTGGCTGGCTGGCTGGCTGGCTGACTGACTGACTGACTGACTGACTGACTGATCGAATAATCGCCACTAGACTAAATAGTCAACTTCAAATTAACTTTTCGGTGAAATCCGCCTACCAACTTACAGACAGACAGACGGACGGATAGACAGACAGACAGACAGACAGACAGACGGACAGACAAACAGACCAAACCCAGCTCACATAAGATGACAGACAGAGAGACAGACAGACGGACGGACGGACAGACAGACAGACAGACAGACAGACAGACAGACAGACAGACAGAGAGACAGACAGACGGACGGACGGACAGACAGACAGACAGACAGACAGACAGACAGACAGACAGACAGACAGACAGACAGACAGACAGACGGGAAGACAGACAGACAGACTCTGTAAAGAAAAAAAATGTTGTAATTGAGAAATGCATCGACCCACGCCCGCGGCATGTAACAGATAGAAATGTACTCACACAAACCTGTACGTGTTGCTTACTCCAACAGTCGATTACTGGAAGTAGTTTACTAGCATTACCTGCATTACTTTACTAGCAGTCGATTACTAGCAGTCGATTACTGGAAGTAGTTCACTAGCATTACCTGCATTACTTTACTAGCAGTCGATTCCTAGCAGTCGATTACTTGCAGTCGATTACTAGCAGTCGATTACTAGCAGTCGATTACTAGCAGTCGATTACTAGCAGTCGATTACTAGCATTCGGTTACTAGCATTCGGTTACTAGTATTTTATTATCAGTGGTAGAACGTTCAGCTATTAGCCCGAATGTCTTGAGTTCGGATTTCGATCCGGATTCCTGAGTCCACTCAGCTCTAATGGGTACCTGACTTACGTTGTAGAAAGTAGAAAGTAAAATTGGCTGGGCATTTTGCTGACGACACTATCTTATGCCGAGGTTAAAAAAATTAAGAACTCTACTGCATCTGTTCCATGAATTTTTAAGTCTGGAAAGTTTTTCTTTACTTCTAGTTTTTTTGTATTCTATAAATAGCATTTGATTACCTGTATTATTTTACTAGCATTAGATTATTAGCATTCGATTACTAGCAATCGATTACTAGCAATCGATTACTAACATTTTTTAATACACAACCTGCGTATGCACATTATTGGCACTTACTTGGTGTATGCATCAATGTAGGACTACACTTTAGCTAAGTTTACACTACAGATTTTGAACTTGACCTAAACCCACCCAGCGAAAGAGAGAGAGAGAGACACACACAAAGAGTGAGAGCGAGACAGAGAGAGCAGAGTTTCTTCCAGGCATCTCTTCGCCCCCCCCCCCCCCCCCCGAAAAATTTTACCGCCCTCCCCCCGAACGAAATGAAATTTATATAATTCATATAGAAAATATATACTATTAACAGTGTGTGTCCCCCCCCCCCCCCCCGAAGAAAATCTACCGCCCCCCCCCCCCGAAAGTTTCAAGTGCCCCCCCCCCCGGAGAAAAAAGTCTGGAAGAAACACTGGGAGAGAGAGAGAGAAAGATATAGTATCTGAATTGTTTAACTTCGAACTGCGACATGATGTCAATATTTTATCATCGATTATATCTCTCTGTTAACATAGTACGAATCAATCATACCACTCTACCAATCGATCATATGACTCCACCAATCGATCATATAGCTATACCGAGGCAAGCACAATACACTTCCCTTTCTGCCGATCATAAAACAGGATCAAGGGAAAAAAACGGCAATTGTTTAAAAATTTAGACTCAAGTTCTTAGCGTTGTCCATTGTTGATTGAAGGTAAGGTACATCAAACAAAGAATGTTCCAGTGTGTTGACCTTATCGATGGAGCGTAGTACAGCAGGGATTTCAACAGTAAACAGTGAATTACACAATAAACAGCGGTGACTAAAACAACAAACAGCAGTGACTAAAACAACAAACAGAATATCTAAAACAACAAACAGAATATCTAAAACAACAAACAGAATATCTAAAACAACAAACAGAATATCTAAAACAACAAACAGAATATCTAAAACAACAAATACCAGTGACTAAAACAACAAACAGCGGTGACTAAAACAACAAACAGCAAGACTAACCACCTTTGAGTACTGAGGTACCGATACAGTTGAGATAAAGAGTTCACGATTGATGTAACCATTGGGACATTTCTTCAGAGGGGAAGGGGGTGGGGGGGGGGGGGGACGGAGGCGAGGCTTTGTTGAATTAAGTACAGCATTGGATGGCATTATGGGGGATTTTTCATGACACACATCCCTGGGGTAGGGGTTGATCCGTGGGGGCACGCGATGTATGGGTGGTCAGTATGTGGGGGGGAGAGAACAGTCTGACGACATAGCGATGTATGGGTGGTCAGTATGTGGGGCGGAGAGGACAGTCTGACGACATAACGATGTATGGATGGTCAGTATGTGGGGCGGAGAGGACAGTCTGACGACATAACGATGTATGGATGGTCAGTATGTGGGGGGGAGAGGACAGTCTGACGACATAACGATGTATGGATGGTCAGTATGTTGGGCGGAGAGGACAGTCTGACGACACAACGATGTATGGATGGTCAGTATGTGGGGGGGGGAGAGGACAGTCTGACGACACAACGATGTATGGATGGTCAGATTTTAGGACGGAGAGGACAGTCTGACGACATAACAGTTGTTGGATGGTCAGATTTTAGGACGGAGAGGACAGTCTGACGACATAACAGTTGTTGGATGGTCAGATTTTAGGACGGAGAGGACAGTCTGACGACACAACGATGTATGGATGGTCAGTATGTGGGGCGGAGAGGACAGTCTGACGACATAAAGATGTATGGATGGTCAGATTTTAGGACGGAGAGGACAGTCTGACGACATAAAGATGTATGGGTGGTCAGTATGTGGGGCGGAGAGGACAGTCTGACGACATAACGATGTATGGGTGGTCAGATTTTAGGACGGAGAGGACAGTCTGACGACATAACAGTTGTTGGATGGTCAGATTTTAGGACGGAGAGGACAGTCTGACGACACAACGATGTATGGATGGTCAGTATGTGGGGCGGAGAGGACAGTCTGACGACATAACAGTTGTTGGATGACTGGGGACTATGACGACATAACTGATGCGGTAATTACTCGGGGGGGGGGGGGGGTAATGATGGGGGAGATATGTCCGGGGGGTAATTGACGGGGGTGGGGGTAATGTCCTGTTCCCTTGCCCAACAGCCCCCCTCCATGACACCACCCTCCTTGCCTCAATGTCCATGTCCCCATCACCTTTATATGGTGATGATGTCCTCACTGCCTCAATGTCCATGTCCCCATCACCTTTATATGGTGATGATGTCCTCACTGCCTCAATGTCCATGTCCCCATCACCTTTATATGGTGATGATGTCCTCACTGCCTCAATGTCCATGTCCCCATCACCTTTATGATGATGTCCTCACTACCTCAATGTCCATGTCCACATCACCTTTATATGGTGATGATGTCCTCACTGCCTCAATGTCCATGTCCACATCACCTTTATATGGTGGTGATGTCCTCACTGCCTCAATGTCCATGTCCACATCACCTTTATATGGTGATGATGTCATCACTGCCTCAATGTCCATGTCCACATCACCTTTATGATGATGTACTCACTGCCTCAATGTCCATGTCCCCATCACCTTTATGATGATGTCCTCACTACCAGCCTACCTTATTGTCCGTCCCCAGAGAGTCATGCACTCAGCCAACCTGCACGCTCCACACACTGCTCACCCACAAGATGGCTGGAAAAAGGCACCGGCTCGTACAACCTTGACCATCACAGTTCGGCCTTGACCTACCTCGACAGCGACCAATCGATTCTAGGTAACGAGAAGTTTTAAATCTAATTAATCAGCCGTCACATGGAGCGTGTCAATCAGCAGGTAACTAATTAGTCGTCAGCTCGAGCACGTCAATTAGCAGGTAAAACAAGCCACCATTTCAAGCTTCTGATGCTGGTCGGTGTTTAATTATTTTTTAACCCAACGGCGTTTGAAAAAAAAAAAAACATGAAAGGTATGTCTCTTTTATCCGATATGCAACTTGTGCATCAAAGATTTTCCCAGATATCCCTTAAGATTTTTTGGTAGATCTCTCCTGGTATCTGCTGCCTTTTGTTGGAAGATCTTTCTGGAAACTTCCATTGCTTTGAAGCAAAACTCGGCTAGAACAATGTTTGTGTAAACAAAATGACGTAGTAAAACAACGAATCTTGTGATTACTTTCAATCCAGCATGTTTACAAACTTGACTAACCACATAAACAGTTGCTGATCTTAAAATCTGTGAACATGTTAATTGTGTTAAAAAAACAATCTTTAATCATCTTTCATCAATTAAGGCTGAAAGCTGAATATTTGTATAATTCGTGATACAAACGTGGGCAAATATTTAACAATCCCATTAACATAATCATTAATCTAAGATGTTATCGGCAATATTTGTGAATCATGTTTGACCAGATAATTTCTGTCTTCTGCCAGACTTTGACCAGACAATTTCTGTCTTCTGCCAGACTTTGACCAGACAATTTCTGTCTTCTGCCAGACTTTAACCAGACAATTTCTGTCTTCTGCCAGACTTTGAGCAGACAATTTCTGTCTTATGCCAGACTTTGACCAGACAATTTCTGTCTTCTGCCAGACTTTGAGCAGACAATTTCTGTCTTCTGCCAGACTTTGACAGCGAGTACTGCAGTAGCGAGGACGATTCGCTTGACCAGTCACGTGATGGGTTTTTCTCTGACGTCACAGACTATGGCGCCACAGGGACCTGTCTGCCGGAGTCTAGTCACGTGGGGTAGGTAGACGCCTGACTCTTGCGTCAGTGGCATCTGAGAGTCATGTCACGTGGGGTAGATAGACGCCTGACTCTTGCGCTATAATCATGTCAGCACTATAATCATATCAGCACTATAATCATGTCAGCACTATAATCATGTTAGCACTATAATCATGTTAGCACTATAATAATGTCAGCACTATAATCATGTCAGCACTATAATCATGTCAGCACTGTAATCATGTTAGCACTATAATCATGTCAGAACTATAATCATGCCGGCACTATAATCATGTTAGCACTATAATCATGTCAGCACTATAATCATGTCAGCACTATAATCATGCCGGCACCATAATCATGTTAGCACTATAATTATGTCAGAAATATAATCATACAAACCATACAATCGTACACACGTTATAATCATACATACACGACAATCGTATATGTGTCATGCCTTGAATATATATCACGCGGTATAACCACAAGTATTATTTAATCATCCATACATTATAATCATGCACGCCGTATGATGACGAAGGCCCCTCGGTATATCCCGAATGGTCACGCACACCTTCAACAATTCTTCCCCAACATTTGTATCTTCAATACAATGTTTACATCTCTTGACGTGAGTTACCTCCCTGCATTTAACAAGTTGTGTTCAGGTTTTGACGTGAGTTACTTCCCTGCATTTAACAAGTTGTGTACACGTTTTGACGTGAGTTACTTCCCTGCATTTAACAAGTTGTGTACACGTTTTGACGTGAGTTACTTCCCTGCATTTAACAAGTCGTCTACACGTTTTGACGTGAGTTACCTCCCTGCATTTTATACATTGTTTACAAGTCCCCTGCCGAGTTTCTCACACGTCCTGATCCAACCCCCACCCAACCCAACCCCACCCAACCAACCCCACCCAACCCAACCCAACCCCACTCCACCCAACCACGAAAATCATGAATATCAATTGAAAAGATTAGCACGGCGTTTAAAATGCCCCCCCCCCCCCGTCCCCCCCCCCCCCCTCCCCCTGTGTGATAGAGTTCGCCTGTCCTACACGTTTGAAGTTTGGAGACTTTGGCCGGGCGATGTGGGCCATAGTTCTCTGGGCCATGTGTGTCGGCTCTAGGCCAACGTTCACTGACGCGGTACGTGGTAGACTAGCACCCGTACCCCACACGGTGTCCTGTTGGAGGACATTGTCCTGTTGAAGGACAGTGCTCTGGATGATGGTGCGATATATCACACTGTGGTGGATGTTGGATGATAGGAATATTTGACATTGACGGCAGGTTAGCCGGGAATAGGTCAAACTGATTAGAAAATGTGGGTCACTATCATTGGCTAAAAATAGCATATCTGTGACACACTACATCGCTATTGGCATTGGGGAGTTTACAATTGACAATATTGACTGTGTTTATTGAAATGACTATATATAATGACTATATATATATATATATATATATATATATATATATATATATATATATATATATATATACATTAGGGAGGGTGAGGGAGGATTATTGTCCTTTAAAAGCTACTGGTTTAAAGCAAAATATTTTCAGTGGCAGCGTTGGTAGTGTTGAATTCACAAATTATGAGTTACAAGACAGTAGAAAATAAAACAACTAAATAGCGGTGTATGCTTACGGTGTGGGTCAGCTCGTGTACTATAAACCCCCAACCCCGTGACAACCCGCCCGCAGCGCGACTGCTCAACCACACGGTACTTTTGTCAGAAGAATAAAGCTGAGAGAGTGGGCTAATTGAGACCATTGCGCAGCTATAAAGGAATAAATTGAGACCATTGCGCAGCTATAAAGGAATAAATTGAGACCATTGCGCAGCTATAAAGGAATAAATTGAGACCATTGCGCAGCTATAAAGGAATAAATTGAGACCATTGCGCAGCTATAAAGGAATAAATTGAGACCATTGCGCAGCTATAAAGGAATAAATTGAGACCATTGCGCAGCTATAAAGGAATAAATTGAGACCATTGCGCAGCTATAAAGGAATAAATTGAGACCATTGCGCAGCTATAAAGGAATAAATTGAGACCATTGCGCAGCTATAAAGGAATAAATTGAGACCATTGCGCAGCTATAAAGGAATAAATTGAGACCATTGCGCAGCTATAAAGGAATAAATTGAGACCATTGCGCAGCTATAAAGGAATAAATTGAGACCATTGCGCAGCTATAAAGGAATAAATTGAGACCATTGCGCAGCTATAAAGGAATAAATTGAGACCATTGCGCAGCTATAAAGGAATAAATTGAGACCATTGCGCAGCTATAAAGGAATAAATTGAGACCATTGCGCAGCTATAAAGGAATAAATTGAGACCATTGCGCAGCTATAAAGGAATAAATTGAGACCATTGCGCAGCTATAAAGGAATAAATTGAGACCATTGCGCAGCTATAAAGGAATAAATTGAGACCATTGCGCAGCTATAAAGGAATAAATTGAGACCATTGCGCAGCTATAAAGGAATAAATTGAGACCATTGCGCAGCTATAAAGGAATAAATTGAGACCATTGCGCAGCTATAAAGGAATAAATTGAGACCATTGCGCAGCTATAAAGGAATAAATTGAGACCATTGCGCAGCTATAAAGGAATAAATTGAGACCATTGCGCAGCTATAAAGGAATAAATTGAGACCATTGCGCAGCTATAAAGGAATAAATTGAGACCATTGCGCAGCTATAAAGGAATAAATTGAGACCATTGCGCAGCTATAAAGGAATAAATTGAGACCATTGCGCAGCTATAAAGGAATAAATTGAGACCATTGCGCAGCTATAAAGGAATAAATTGAGACCATTGCGCAGCTATAAAGGAATAAATTGAGACCATTGCGCAGCTATAAAGGAATAAATTGAGACCATTGCGCAGCTATAAAGGAATAAATTGAGACCATTGCGCAGCTATAAAGGAATAAATTGAGACCATTGCGCAGCTATAAAGGAATAAATTGAGACCATTGCGCAGCTATAAAGGAATAAATTGAGACCATTGCGCAGCTATAAAGGAATAAATTGAGACCATTGCGCAGCTATAAAGGAATAAATTGAGACCATTGCGCAGCTATAAAGGAATAAATTGAGACCATTGCGCAGCTATAAAGGAATAAATTGAGACCATTGCGCAGCTATAAAGGAATAAATTGAGACCATTGCGCAGCTATAAAGGAATAAATTGAGACCATTGCGCAGCTATAAAGGAATAAATTGAGACCATTGCGCAGCTATAAAGGAATAAATTGAGACCATTGCGCAGCTATAAAGGAATAAATTGAGACCATTGCGCAGCTATAAAGGAATAAATTGAGACCATTGCGCAGCTATAAAGGAATAAATTGAGACCATTGCGCAGCTATAAAGGAATAAATTGAGACCATTGCGCAGCTATAAAGGAATAAATTGAGACCATTGCGCAGCTATAAAGGAATAAATTTAGACCATTGCGCAGCTATAAAGGAATAAATTGAGACCATTGCGCAGCTATAAAGGAATAAATTGAGACCATTGCGCAGCTATAAAGGAATAAATTGAGACCATTGCGCAGCTATAAAGGAATATATTGAGACCATTGCGCAGCTATAAAGGAATAAATTTAGACCATTGCGCAGCTATAAAGGAATAAATTTAGACCATTGCGCAGCTATAAAGGAATAAATTGAGACCATTGCGCAGCTATAAAGGAATAAATTGAGACCATTGCGCAGCTATAAAGGAATAAATTGAGACCATTGCGCAGCTATAAAGGAATAAATTGAGACCATTGCGCAGCTATAAAGGAATAAATTGAGACCATTGCGCAGCTATAAAGGAATAAATTGAGACCATTGCGCAGCTATAAAGGAATAAATTGAGACCATTGCGCAGCTATAAAGGAATAAATTGAGACCATTGCGCAGCTATAAAGGAATAAATTGAGACCATTGCGCAGCTATAAAGGAATAAATTGAGACCATTGCGCAGCTATAAAGGAATAAATTGAGACCATTGCGCAGCTATAAAGGAATAAATTGAGACCATTGCGCAGCTATAAAGGAATAAATTGAGACCATTGCGCAGCTATAAAGGAATAAATTGAGACCATTGCGCAGCTATAAAGGAATAAATTGAGACCATTGCGCAGCTATAAAGGAATAAATTGAGACCATTGCGCAGCTATAAAGGAATAAATTGAGACCATTGCGCAGCTATAAAGGAATAAATTGAGACCATTGCGCAGCTATAAAGGAATAAATTGAGACCATTGCGCAGCTATAAAGGAATAAATTGAGACCATTGCGCAGCTATAAAGGAATAAATTGAGACCATTGCGCAGCTATAAAGGAATAAATTGAGACCATTGCGCAGCTATAAAGGAATAAATTGAGACCATTGCGCAGCTATAAAGGAATAAATTGAGACCATTGCGCAGCTATAAAGGAATAAATTGAGACCATTGCGCAGCTATAAAGGAATAAATTGAGACCATTGCGCAGCTATAAAGGAATAAATTGAGACCATTGCGCAGCTATAAAGGAATAAATTGAGACCATTGCGCAGCTATAAAGGAATAAATTGAGACCATTGCGCAGCTATAAAGGAATAAATTGAGACCATTGCGCAGCTATAAAGGAATAAATTGAGACCATTGCGCAGCTATAAAGGAATAAATTGAGACCATTGCGCAGCTATAAAGGAATAAATTGAGACCATTGCGCAGCTATAAAGGAATAAATTTAGACCATTGCGCAGCTATAAAGGAATAAATTGAGACCATTGCGCAGCTATAAAGGAATAAATTGAGACCATTGCGCAGCTATAAAGGAATAAATTGAGACCATTGCGCAGCTATAAAGGAATATATTGAGACCATTGCGCAGCTATAAAGGAATAAATTTAGACCATTGCGCAGCTATAAAGGAATAAATTTAGACCATTGCGCAGCTATAAAGGAATAAATTGAGACCATTGCGCAGCTATAAAGGAATAAATTGAGACCATAG